TTCGACAAGAATATTTGAGGCGAATGAAAAGCTACCGAGAATCCAGCAAACATTTAATCTACCTCGACGAAACTTGGTTTGACACCTATGATGTTATCAAATATGGCTGGGTAGACGAAACCAAGTATTGTACTTTGAACACACCTTCTTCAAGAGAAAAACGTGTTATAATTTTGCATGCCGAGAATGAAAGTGGTTTCGTTCCTAATGCTTTGTTTCTGTCGGCCAAAAATATAAAAGATTCGTCTGCTGATTACCACGAAGATATGACTGCGGCTTTATTCGAAACCTGGTTCAGTGAGCAGCTTCTCCGAAATATTCCTCCAAGCTCGGTTATTGTTATAGTTAACGCTTCGTATCATTCTCGGTAATTGACTACAATACCGAACAATAACACAAAAAAGCAGATATTGTTGATTTCATGCGGGATCATGACATGGAAATATCAGAAAAGATTCCAACGAAAAAGATATTACCGGCGACCATAAAACAACGTAATTTCAAAAAAGAGTATATTATTCATTCGATGTGTGGAACACGTTTGCCTCCATACTATTGTGTGTTAATTCCAATTGAAATGGTTTGGGCCACAATGAAAGAAAGCTTGCGGAAATGTAATCAGTTACCGACTTGAATGCTGTAGTACTTGACAATATAAGGCGAGTGGTGAATGGAGTAGGTAATAGTGATGTGTGGAAGAACTATGTGGCCCACGTTATGAAAGAAGAGAACAAATATTATATGCGAAGTTTCATAAATCCGATCGTTGTTCAACCCGATGATGATTTCACCTCATCCGAATATAGCGAAGAAGAATTTTAATTTTTCCAGCAATTTTGTTGGCCTCTATTATTTTGTAAATATATGTTTGACGAGAATTCGGTGTGATTATTTGTGTTCTCATTGTATTTTAGAGTTTTCGACTCGGAAATCAACTACCTTAAATTTCGAAGTTTTTCATAATTACCCATGGTGGAAAAATTCAGTTGAGATAACTTTTTCATGGGGTGATTAATTGCTATGATTGTAAGAATAAGTAACTGAAAAACTACCACTGAAAAATAATATGCCGACGCCTATGTCGAGACGGGAATTCCTTTTCTGTGCTGTTCCAATTGGTATTGGAAATACTACATTATTTCATCCCAAGACACAGTAATACTCAACAGTATTCAGAATTACTACCTAAGAATATAGAGAGGCAATAGAGATTCAAAAACTTGGGGTTAATTTGAATAGAAAAAAAAGAGGCAGTGATCAATAATCGAAGCTGGCTACCTGTACACGAATAAGAACAAGTAATACAATTATGAACGATACAAATAGAACGCCCAGTACGAAAATAGTAGTTAATGCTTTGGATACAACAGGAACAAGAACCAGAGCACCAGGTCGAGTATTGCGATCGTTACCAGTGACCTTTGAAAATGTCAAACGCAGCAGACGAAACGTCAGGCATAAAAACATGCAGACCACATCTAGAAAACCCGGAAAATAGCCTTTATACAGATATCTTCGGTCGTGAAAGTTAACATTTTTCGAATGTTTCTTGAGAAAAATTGAAATTCGCTTTTCTTACAGACCTCCTATTGCTAGAATTCAATTAGCATGAGCACACCAGAAGAAGCCGTTGTATAGTAGAACACGTATTACAGTTCTGTGAACTGTTTAGTGGTAAACCTGTGATGGAAAATTTGTTCAAAAATAATATTGTAATATTCTGTTATCCTTTCGGAGCGTGCCCAATAATATCAACATACAACAACATACTCTTAACTTTTGGAAAGTATGATATTCAGGAAAAAACATTCGTGGGAAGAACGTGTACCTTTTAGACAAGCTCCTGATTTGAATTGTACTGCGACAAATTGATGAATTAACTTTCTTGAATAAATTTATTTGCAACAATATTTCAATGATAACAAACTAATTTATTTATTACAACATTCAGCAACTAACGCTTAATTCATTTCCACTATTCACATTTCTAGTTTAGCCGCTTGGTTCACTTCCTAAACTGCCCTCTTGGGTTGGGAACGCAAGCTTATATCGATAAAGGTCCTTTCGAGAATTCTGTGGACGGTTCGGTACTCTTCTAGAATTTTACTGGTGGTTCCAAACTGCATTTTTTCGGGGTGAGGTCATGTGTTTGTTCGCTGAGTTGGCTGGCGTACCAATTCAATCGGTCAGGGGCGGTTTCAGATTTGTTACATTGTCCCCTTTCCAAAGACGTTTTGCCCCGAAATTTCTTAATTGGTGTGTGTCGATACCTGCAGGATTCTCTATATCTGCACTACGAAGCACGATGGAAGTAACACTCCACAACCTTCACGCTTGGTCGTGGAAGGTGGTTACCGCACACCAAAATTTGATGCCGCTGGATCTGAATATCGTTTCCAACATGCTTCTCACAATTCTCCAATCCAGCTTGTCGAGCCCAGAGGCTAATTTCGGGATTGCCGAGTCCACAAGATTCTGATCGAGCATCGTATCCCTCAGTCTGGTAAGACTTCTCCAGACATCTTCATAGGACGGTTTGTCTCGAAAATGCTTTTTGGTCACCAAGTAGAAAATGTTTCTCTGGCTCTTCGTCAACTGTAGCACTCATACCACTTCTGACACCAATTGTGGCGAATTGATGAATTAACTGTCTCAAATTAATTTACAAAAATTTTTCAATAATCACAAACTGATTCATTTATTACCACACTAAGCAACAGCCGCTTAATGTATTTCGACTTTTCGAATTTCTTGTTTAGTCTCTCGATTCACTTTGTTAACTGCCTTCTTGGGTCGGGAAGACGGGCTGATATAGGTGAAGGTCCTTTCGTCTAGAATTTTACCGGCCATTCCAGGCTGCATTCTTTCGAGGTGACGTCATCTGTTTGTTTGGTGAGTCGGCTGGCACATCAACTTAACCTGTCAGAAGCGGTTTCAGATTCGTCACAGTAATTTGCCGTCTGTACTCTGTAGAAAATATATTGGATCAGTTGAATTGTTCAACAGGTTGTCATAAAATCCAACATAAGTGTCTTTCAGTTGAACTATTGTTACGTTTCAATTCAGCACTAGATCAAAACTGCTTCTATGTGACATTTCAAAACACTACCTCACCTTTTAAAATCTTTATTCAGAGGATGTTGAAAATGTAATTCAGTTAAAAGTTGATTTTATTCATTTAATATCATAATAATAGGAATCTTCCGTTCCATAGAAAACCATACCTGAAATGTACTAGAATATATGTATGCTCCCTGACCAACTGCCGTGACCAGTAATTACAATTCACTTCACATTCGACGATGAAAATCCAAAACTCCTCACTAGGTTGAAATAGGTTGTTATTGTATGTTTCTCAGTTTTCTTCATCTATCATTTTTCAGCCGTTGTCTGCCTTATTCTCTGTAGCTTTCCAAGAATATTCATTGCATAGATTGTTATTCATCACTTCCAGAAGGTTCACTTACATATTAGAGCCATATAATATTGGAAAACAATATTAGTTAGCTCTGGGTTCCTGAATACTGTTTGATATTTTCGGTAAATATTCTGCATAATATGAATGTTCAAATATTCGTACTGAATGGGAAAGATGTGGCGACTTACCTTAGATGTTTCTATTCCATGGCATGAATAAGGATCGGTAAATAGTTGAAAATAGGTTGGAGTCAATATTTTTGTAAACATTCAATAACAAGGTTGAGAGACAGCTGTTGGTTGACATCTGCCGAACTTTCGTAGTGTCGTTCCGACGACACTACGAAAGTTCGGCAGTTTTTCACGGGTGAGAGATTGATCGGTTACTCAAATTGTCAAGGGTTGCACTACCAGGTATGCAAGTGATTCTTACCATATCCACAAAGATTCTTGTTTCGAAAATAAATGAGTGAATTGTTGAACCCTGGTCTTACAGATCAGCGCGACTAGCGATGATGCGAAATTTGGCCGATTCGAAAGTTGAAAATCGTGGAAGGGGTGAATGAAAAGATATATGTTATTCAAAATTTTGTTTTTATTTGAATTCACCATTTCAAAGGCATTATTTTCTTAAAGACAAATTCCAAAATTTTGAAACCAAATGAATATGGTTCATGTCCCAGCTTATATTATATGTTTAGTCTATATCAACTTTCTTAAAATGTCCGTAGTATCCTAAAACTTCATCATTTATAAGAGGAGAGGGCCTGAGCTTTTCATTTACTCGCAGTGTATCTAGAGTATCGAACCTTCCTTTGTATTCTGTGAATTTTTGCTTCCATATTTCTGAAAAAAAATATATTGAAATTCGTATTGAATTTGTCTCAAAATGTTTTCAACAGATGAAATTTCAATAAAAATTCAATAAATGTTTCCCCAATTCCTTCCAAAATGAAAGAGAATTGATATTTCATAGGTCTTCCTTATTAATCAAAATACGTCAATGGACTTCTTCCCAATTTTCTGAGAGTGAAAACTGTGAGTATTGGTCAATTCGAAAGACAGAATGAGGTAAAAATAGTATAGTTGAATATTTGATTTCATAAGAAGTAATTATTTCCATAATAAATCTTAATTAGGAGATAATCACAAAGATGCCTCTCATTACCAGAGGAGATGATGTATATAGAAGTTCCAACTTGTATGATTCAGTTTTATCTTCTTCTGGTGATGCCAACTCGCTTAGCGTCAGTTCTATATTCTTATTGTGGAGAGAGTATTTTTGCCAGAATATTTACACCAGCATTGATAATGAATTTATGATGTAGTGTAGGTGGATGTTGAACTATCCTTATGTTTTATCATAATAATTGTTGAATCTAATACACCTGCTGTCATCTGTTAAAACATGAAAATTGTCTTAGGTTAATTTGTGTTCTGTCATATTTTGATAGTTAAGAAGAAGCAGAAAATTTTGTTTTTGAGTGCTATGGCAACAAGTTGTAGCAGAATGAAGTTCAGAATGTATGACAGTAAGAAAAGAGTTTGATTGCTTACTTTTATTTTTTCGATTCGTTCTTCAATAAAACTAATCACATTTGAAGTTGTGTCTACCTTAAAAGTAAAAAACCGAACAGTGGAAGTACTGACTTCCATATATCAAATTTCCATATAGATGGAAAAAGCCAAATTGCTTAAAGCTGTGAAAAAGTTTGTCTGAAAACTCATATCATATAGTAATTTTCATAATTTTTAAGATTTCACAAGACCTAAGATGATTTGAACCCATTATGAGTCATCACTGCATCCCTATGAAAAAGATATATCAAAAAGTGTTGACCAATCCTCAATCATTTTTATCTATTGGTTGATCCGCTGCTGGAAAAATTCAAAAATTATTCAGTACTAACAAATGGAAATCAATTCCATTCAATCAATATTGTAATCAAAATATTCACCACTATATTCTCTCAATGAGGGACCAGTGCCACCATAGTCCTTAGGCAGAATGTCCTTTGAAATATAATCCTTTATAGTATCAGTTGATTTATGAAGAGTGATCTGTAAAAAATATATATTTCAGAATGAAATATTCTCGAGTACCATCTTTGAGTGCAGAAAATTGTTAACAATTGCGAACATAACCCATTTGAAAAACTTGAAAACTCACGATGTAAAACATAATATTATTCAATAAAAGAGATAATAACTATGAGTGCATATTGATATCATATTGATTCGTCGAAAAATTATATTCCTCATAAAAAAATTAACAACTTCACTACGGCATCTTTCCATCCATTAGATCATTGATGGTCTACAAACTACTTGCCACCTGATTTTGTTCAGGTGGTCAGTTCAGGGAATTAATTTCCACCTAGAAGATGGTTCGAAATAGAGGGTATAGTCCAGTGATTGATGGTAAAATAATTCGATGTTCTAGAATTTGTACAAACAGCACCGTTTGGCAAAATAAAATGAATTTAGGTTCCACTTAAACTTTACCTTAAAATTGACAACGGTATGACTTCACGTTTTTGAGAGATGTCACCTCTTCTCGAGATTGAAAAATGTTGCGTTGAAAATAGCTTGGAAAATGTTTGACTATTCTCAAGGTTCCATACAGTTTTTTTTTCAATGAGGTCACATTTTCGGAAGGTTTTTCGCGAATAACTCATAAAGTAAGAATATTCAAAATGCAGCTCAATGAAACATTTGTGGATATATGTTGTCTGTTGACCCAAGACAAAGAAAATAGCTCGTCAATGATTGTTAATTTTTCGTCAAGAACAAGTGAGAACTTTCATTTTTTTCAAAAAATTCTCTGGCATTGAAGTCAATCGAGTTATGATGAAAATGAAGTTGATCTCGATTTTGTCAGTGAAAAAAATTTTAAAATCACCCCCTAATTACTACTCCTATAATAAATCATCATCATCTATTCTATGTAGAAAGAGAGAAAGATAGAAAGGGAGAGAGATAGAAAGAGAGAAATATAATTCATTGTCGAAGAAATCCAGTTCTTATTGACAAAGCATATAAGGTTGGAAAATTATTGAAGAGTGCTTTTTTAAATATGGAAAATATCTACAAAAGTAGAAAAACTCTATACTAATCAGCTGAAAAATAAACATACCTCAAATACAGATAAAATGAGTGAAAAAGCAAATAAAATATAAATGACACATACTGAAATTTAAATCATATCTAAAATAAAATCATAGCAGAGTTTCACTGTAAAATTCCTCGAGATTATAGAATGCTTCTTTGAGTAGAGCTTCTGTCATTATTTTTCTGAATTAGTAATGTTTTTTTCTCCTTTCTGATTTTGGAGTAAATGTAATTATACAGTGTATCTCACTTCTCATGGAAACACCCCCGTACCTTTCGTGATATTCGAGGAAACTCTCAAGACTGATGAAAATGCTCAAAATTCACCTGAATGGGGTTAGCCAAAGTAATATACACTGTCCGCTACTCGCGATGGAACACCCCATTTTTAAAGTAAATCATATTACGGCGCAAAATAGTTCGCTTCCAATACATGGACCCCTTCATTCTATCTGGAGAGTACTCTCAGGTATGAAAGATATAGATGCTGTGAGATGCTATCATTCATTTTGAGCTTATCTGAGGAAAATGTCACAGCGCCACATTCTCAGATTATCGAGATAGTGTGAAGCAGTGTATGAAAAATTATCGATGGCGGCATCTATTATAACTAAAGATTATTCGTAAAACTAATTCTGGTTGCTGAACATCAAAATTCTATCCCATCCAGAAGTTAGAGCTCTCGATTGATGAGCAAAAACTGCAAAAAATTGAAAAAATCTATATTTAAAGGTTGAGCTTTGACTTTGGAGTATATCGCTGAAACTATCGCTTCAACTCAATATGAGCCGCAGTAGAATATGTTTAAAGAGGCATAAAATGCATGTGTTCAAACCCAAATTTTTAGATACTTTGCACGAAGAAAATGAAATCCGCCGTATGGAGTATTGTTTCATAATTCACATACTTCATTGCGAATGTGTTGAACAGAAATCACTATAGCTTGTTCACGTTAAGAAGAGGATGACGTCACAAGATGACAAGTTACGGCGTTGCCAACATGTGCACTATTTCGAACTTTCAAATTTTTTGTACTGTTGATATGTTTTATTGCTATTATCCTTACTTATTTTAGTATTTGTTGGGACTATTCCGATAATGCTTCAGGCGTATTGAATATACGCAGGTCTTATCAGAAGAAATGGATAGTTCTGAAAAGAAAAGAAAGACTGACAGTTTTCGAGTTTTTTCCGATTCGGCAACGTGTAAAATTTTACTAGCATTCGAGCAACTTACAAAATGAAATGTTACTAGTTTCATTGCTGTTGAACGCATTTCAGTGGGAATTTTAACGTTGGTATGTTGGATATACAAAATTACCAAAAATTACGTCATTCTCTTCTCAACGTGAAGAGCATCTTTTTCGCTTGAATAAAAATACCAGTAAATATTTGTATTATTTTTCATCGCTGCATCGTTCAAAGCCTACTTGATTAAAGTATGCGTTTCAAAGTCTACATGAAAAAATCTAAAAGCTCTGTGTTTCAAAGATGACTTTAGCGAAACTTTAGGTGTGCTACGTTTTTGATAAGGTAATTTCAAGATCTTTTTGAATATGCAGAAATATACAGAATGTCTCATTGAAGAAATGGTTTTCGAAAACTAACTATTGGTATCTCATTTGAAAAATAAGTTTTTCACATTGGGAGAGTGCTTTGGAAATGTTTTCGTAGAAACAAGAGAAATGTTACAGCAACTTTACCAAAATGCAATGTGGAAGTGCAATTTATTTTCTAATCCTTCGAAAAATTAAGCCAGACAAAAATCAAACCATTTTCCGACATTTTCTCAACGGTATATTGTTAGTCACGAAAATTCGCAATTCAATTCAAACCTAATTCAAACATCTTCGTATCTCTCATAGTTTCCGAGATCCCAGTGGTGAGGATCGAATTTGAAACACCCTGTATAAGCAATATGGGAATTGATCAAAGATGTTTCCTTTTTCTCTTTGTCTTTTCTTTTCTATGTTGTATCCACGTCATCTTTTATTTATTGTAACACTGTTACTATACTTCTAATTATTTAGTATTTGCTATCCTTCGAAAACGATTTCTGTTGGGAAGTGAATGCTATATTATTATTATTTCATGCGTTTGAAGTTAACAGTCATCTATTGCAAAATAGATACATCACCAATTTTTTTCTCTTTCCAATGGAATTTACTTGGAGGAAGATGAAAAAGGGTGGCGGAGTTGAGACATTCCTAAAGTTGCCTCTTCCTAAAGTTGAAACAAATGAGAACCTTAATCTAATCAGATACTCTAATGCAGAGTATTTACGATTTGCGTTTTTAATTGTATCAATTACACTAGAACAGTCTCCTGAGCAACGTCTGAATTGGTAGCATATTGCCAAAATCGACTCTCCTCGATAGGAAGACTCAACAGATTGTCTCTGGTCTGGATTCCTGGTTATACTGACCTGGAAAGCAATGAGGCTGCCAACTCCCTTGCAAAGAGGGTGATGCAAGCAACTTCGGCAGTTGGTAAGTTGGTAACCTAACCTAACCTCCTGATATGGGAACTTACAAAAATTTGAACTTTCAAGAATAGCTCATATATGAATTGAAAGGGATACATTTTTAGGAGTGATCAATTTTTGGGAAAGAAAGTTTTTGGCTTTCTACTACTCCATCTGATACAAAAAAAAATGGATTACTTCCTTCCTTTCTTTGGAAGATTCTCTCATCCATTTTTTTTTGTATCAGATGGAGTAGTGGAAGGCTCATATATGTTACAATATTTTCGATGTCATAATAATTATAAAAATAATAATAATTTTTTGTGATATTGATTCACTTACCCTTTGGGCGATCTTAGGATTCAAAAGTTTCTTTGTTAGATTTAAAACGGGTTCAGCAAATGGTGGATAATTCAGTAGATGTATTTGTTTGATATTATTGTTGAATACTTTCTGAAAACAAAATTCACCACCTAAAAATTTCGTTGTGAATGATTCTCAATTGATGATGAACAAATATGATCTTCGATAAGCTAACAGCAAAAAATCAGATTAGCTGATGAGCACGACGACGTATATCAAAATTGAACGGTACAAAAATTATTATGAGCAACCATATACATATTCAACTTTATCATAATGAGCAACTATAGAACCCATAAACATAAAATGCCACTCACATTTTTCTGATAAAGAAAATACATAATTATACAGGGCGTTCCAAGGAAAACTTGACCCTCCTTGTGAGTCAGATATGGATGTGTAATCAAAAATTTCAAAGAACACGTCAATTCTCATGTCTAGGGGGACTAATTCTGATATGGAAATCATACTCCAAACTTCACCTCCCTGCAGCCAGCAACTACGACCTATTTTTTTCTATGGCATGGGGGATCGAGTGATACATTATTTGAAAGGTCGTTCGTTCCTCTATTAATTCTGAATTTTTATCGGAATTAGTTCTTTCGTTATTGAAAAATTGAATGTTGAACGTTTCATTTAAAAACAAAAACAGCAAATTTGCTGTCGCTCATTTTATTGAGGATATCAACAAAAGTAATATTAATGGCAAACTACAATCGACGGATAAAGTGTTCAAAATGACATCAATCTAGTCCCATATAATAATACAGTCTACTTTCGTTCTGAAATGGACGACACTGATAGTTTTTCCTGCACTGGTAATTTTTGTTGAATCTAGTTGTCGCAGAACAAAAAGTAGATAGTTGGCCACTGTCAGTTCTTCACCAATCATTATTCAGTCATTCTTGTTCACTGTGTTTCAACATGGTTCATTCTACTGAAGAAAGAATAGAAATGGTTGCAACCTATTATCGAAATAATGAATGTGCTAAAGCTGCTACAAAAAATTATAATACGAATCATACAGACCACAACGTGAGTCATCAATACGTCAAACAGTTAATGGATAAGTTCCGAACTTCAGGTTCTTATAACAAAAAACAATTTGAAGTATCCCATCCTGTCAGAAATAACGGAGTTGAAGTTGCAGTTTGAGTACATGTACAAATGAATAATCAACAATCTATCAGAAAAGTATCTAGAGCTTCTGGTGTATCAGCTACTAGTGTTCTTCGTACTATGAGAGCCTACAAATACCTTCCTTTCAAAATTTGGCTTGTTCAGGAATTGAATGAAAATGATCCTTGTGGTCGATTTCAGTTCTGTCAGGTGTTCAGCGAGAAATTGACCAATAACCCAAATCTATTATGCAATACATGCTTTTCAGACGAAAGTTCTTTCAAGTTGAATGGTGAAGTGAATAGACATAATTGTCGTTACTGGAGCGATGTGAATCCTCATTTGGTGATGGAAACACATTCACAAACTCCACAAAAATTGAATGTGTAGATCCTATGAATTTCACTAGTTTGAACTCCCATTATCTAATATATAACATAATTTGAAATCCCCGAAACAACTGAAAAAGAAGAATTGAAAATGAATAACTGGAAATAACAATTATAATAAGCAAAAATAATCTAAAATTGAATAATAATGAAATAAAATACAAGTAAAAATAATAAAACGATTGAACAAAAAATTAAGAAATACAAATGAATATGGATAAAGAGTTAAAGAGATTTCAAGCCATGTTAGTTCACGACGTTTCGATTGTTTATATTTACAATCGTCTTCGGGTGATGACTTAACTGATTCCTCCGAGAGATGACTATTTATGGGTCGTTCGAGTACTTTCACTTATCCCCACTTTTCATTTTTCCGCTTCACTGGTTCAGTGGCAGATGACCGTTCGGCGGGAGTTGGCCATTTTTCGCATGATGATAAGTTTATAGGTTTCCATATGTTGCGTATCTCTACGCTAGCTTGGCTGAATACGTTGTTGGACAGCATGTATGCGGCTTCCTTGAATTATCTCCTGAACCAATGTTTCTCTCTGAGTATGATCTCAGCTTTGGACTACTCCTGAACCAATGTTCCTCTCTGGGTATGATCTCAGCTTTGGACTACTCGATGTTGTGTCGATGGGTCCAAACATGGTCTGCTATTCCCGATTGGCTGGTTTCCCCTCGCTGTGTGTGTTCCTTGTGCTCGGCAATGCGAACATTCAATGGCCTCTCCGTTTCACCAATATAGGATTTTTGCACTCACAGGGTATCCGGTAAATGCAATTCTTGAAATCGCAGTCCGCGTTTGGTGGCCTGGTTTTCGTGAGGCTGCTACGGATAGTGTTACCAGATCTGAAGCAGGTTCTGATGTTGTACTTGGAACCAATTCTCTTTTTCCACCATCGGTTTGGAGTAGACATTTCGTTAAAGATCATTTTTAATTATGTCTAGTTTCTTCTCGAGACCTTCCTTCGTATTATAGAGCCCGAAAGCACGGTCTAATGGAGTCTTGGTGATTCCTCTTCCAGTTGATTGATGATGGTGGGATTCGTGGTTCAGATACTGTCCCGTGTGAGTGGGTTTTCGGTATACAGATGTGTTCCAATTAGTGTCGGTCCTTTTCACCAAAACGTCTAAGAATGGCAATTCTTTTTGGATTTCCTTCTCCATTGTGAAAGTGATGGAATGTCTCATGCTGTTGATGTGTTTCAGGAAGGCGTCTAGTTCAGTATTCCCATGGTTTCATATTATTAAGGTGTCGTCAACATATGTCAACCAGACTCGAGGTTTCTTGTGGGCTTCATCAATGGCCAGGTTTCAAACCACTCCATATATATGTTGGCTATAACTGGTGAAAGTGGCGATCCCATCGGCAGTCCCTCGTTTCGTGTAAAGAATTCGTCCTTCAGTTGGAAATAACAGTTTCGCATACAGCATCCTAGTAATTTCATAATTACTTCTATAGGTAGATTCGTTCTCTCTTCCATGTTCCCGTCTTCGAAAAGCTTCCTCTGTATGATTTGCAGTGCTTCTTCGATCGGAAAGTTGGTGAAAAGGCTTTCCTCGTCGAAGCCAATTAGTGACCTCAATTGATGCTAGTACTTCGACAAAATGCCTTGAATCCTTCACAAAAGACGATGTTTTTCCTTGTAATGGTTGTATTAGGGGAAGTAAAAATCTGGACAAGTTTTGAGTAGCCGAATCTCTGGAGCTGATGATCGGTCTAAGCGGAACGTCCTTCTTGTGGATTATGGGTAATCCATACAAGTTGGGAGGCTCACTGTGGTGCGGTGTTAGCGATGATCTTCTCTAGTCCGAAATCTGGTACAACTTCCTTCCAATTGATGCAGTAGGGTCCCGTACGATCTTTGTGTATGGTCCCTTCTAAAGAACCTCTTCGATCTTGTCTTCGTAGACAACAGTATCCATCACCACAGTAGCGTTTCCTTTATATGCAGGTAGGATCTTGATTGTGTTGTCTCTACGTAGGCCGTTCAGAGCTCTACGTTCTTCATTGCTGATGTTAAATGTTGGAACTGGTTTTGATCCAGCTGTTCTATGATTTTCCATCTGAATTCTCCTGCCTCGGTCTGGCAAATAAGGGAACTGGTAGATTCCACCGCCGTAATTATCTCCAAAGTCGGCACAGATGTTGGCGCAATGACGAAATTTAGGCCTTTCCTCAACGAGGATTTCTCTACTAGAGTGAGCGGGTGGAAATTCATGTTGATAACGTTGGCGGCTTCATAGTTTTCCTGTTTTCGGTCTGTGTTTGGGCATTGTTTCCTCACTAATTTCCACCCACTTTCTATTGTGGGTATTCTCCATGTCTTGGCAGATCTTCAAGCACGTGCTTTCAATCTTGGCAAAGATTTTTCCATGATAATCTTCCAATGTTTCTCTTCTTATTTCTTCAAATCGTTCCGTGACATCCTGCATCAAAGTTGACCTCTTCCAACGGTGATAATTGATTTGGGATCTTATCAGTACTCGCCTGGCACGTTCCAATATGCGTTTAGCTCTCTCTCCTGGGATTGGAGATTTCAGCAGAAAACTTCTGGGGATGATGTTGTTGTCTCTCGCTCTGCACAGAAAACTGAGGTGAGTCTCTTCCTTTGTAAGCTTGACCAAAGTCTTCTCATATCCTCGGAATAAGTCGCTGGCTCCGGGTCCGTACCGTGTATTCAACGTTTGTTTGAAGGTGATTGACAATGTTTAATGATAAATTTCACTAGTTCGGACTTCCATTGTCTACTATATGAAATGATTTGAAATCCTCGAAACAACTGAAAAAGAAGAATTAAAAACAAATAGCTGAAAATAACAATTATATCAAGCAAAAATAACCTGGAATGAAATGATAGTGGAATAGAATACAAGTAAAAATAATAAAACGATTGAAATTAAGAAATACAAATGAATATGAATAAAAACTCAAAGGGATTCCAAGCCACGTTAGTTCACGACGTTTCGATTGTTTGTATTTACAATCATCTTCGGGTGATGACTGGACTGATTCCTCCGAGAAATGACTATTTTGTCCATTTGTCCATTTTTCGCTTGATGATGTGTTTCCATTTGTTGCGTGTCTCTATGCTAGCTTGCCTGTGTATGATCTCAGCTTGGGACCACTCGATGTTGTGTTGATGGGTCCAAACATGCTCTGCTATTCCTGATTTGCTGGTTTCCCCTCGCTGTGTGTATTTTTTGTGCCCAGCAATGCGAACATTCAACGGCCTTTATACACAAAGCTCGTGACGACCATATGCGTGTAGATGAACTACACAATTATGATACTAGATAGAAAGGCAAATATTGCGTTCCCTTCAGACGCTTAAATATTAGCTTAAATTCACCTACTGTAATTGGCTTAAGACTCTATAATCGACTTCCACAAAGATATAGATCCTTTTCAAACCGGAAATTTCTTATTGAAGTGGAAAAGATACTAATTGATCTGTGTCCCTACTCCCTAGAAGATTATTATGAATTAATTTTTTAAAGAACAACCTGTAAACATGTATTATTTCACTATCCTATGTTAATTGTATTTTGTCTGTAATCCTTGTTATGCATGTACATAGTTCATTTTATTTTATCATTTTACTCATTGTACTTTGTTGTATATCTATATGTTTTTTGACTTGTCCTATAGCTGTATTTGCTCGAATGAGTAATGAAGAATTGAATTGAATTGAATTGATTCAATAATCGTGCTTTCTTCATGATTTATCCATCATATCAGGCTTGGGTACTGAGGGAGATAGAGGAGGTAAAAGGAGAAAATGGAAATCTATTTCAGCACAATAGACCCTCAGCGATTACAGAGAGTCTAATTGCTGGAACAGTAGCTAGGTCGAAACCAAGATCATGAAGATGGCTTTCGAAAGATTCGCCAACAATTTCACCGAAGGTCAGGGTAAGAAACCATCAAGAAACTGTGTCAAGACATATTGGTGTCCAATTCAAGTCACAACAAAGTTTTCGAATTGTCTGACCTGACATTATTATATCCGGTTCGGAGACATTTATTTTCATGGAGAGATATCATTAAAATCACCTCTAGATCCTCATTAGGATATTCAACCTCTTGCTGGTGAAGATGTACTTCCGTAGCTGACGTCCTGGGATCCAAATGTGATGACGCGATAAGTGTGCTGCCATCAACAAAGCAATATATTGGATCCATGGTTTCTCCAATCAGTCGTTGATATACAATACAAAAAGAGTTTAAGACAATATGTATCCCTGGGGAACACCAGCGTTGGTGGTGAAAGTATTCGAGAGATATCAGCACGGAACGTTCTTTCAGGAAGATAAAGAGCCACACACAACAACAGTTCGTGTTTTGCGTTGATCAATTGCGTTGTTCCAAATATGAGTGACGTACGATGGAAATATCTTTGTTTCCGAAAGCCATATTATTGATCGCTCGAGATGTTGAAGCCTTCCAAATATTTGAGGATATGTTGGTTTACGGCTTTCTCCATGATTTTTGATCACTGAAAGCAAAGCAACTGGTCTATAGTTATTTAAAAAAGTTTTCTTGCCCTTTTTGGAAATAGGCTGAATACGAGCAATCTTCCAAGAAAGAAAAATCCTTTTTTTGTGAAACAGGGTAAAAAGTCGTAAAATTCTGATGCGAGTTCATTTGCGTACTTCTTAAGTACGATAACGGGCACTTCATGAGGCCAGACGCCTTGTTGATATTGAGCTGTTTCAAAATTCTGCCTAGACGCTTTCGAAAAGTAATTTGGGAATAGTGGGTAGTACCTTCTCAAAAAATCGACTATGGAGTGGGACGTAATTTGTTCAGCTAGAGATTTGCTTTTTCTATGGCTGCTGTTGCAATTGAACCATCCGCCTGCATAAAATAAAGTTATGAAGAACAGATTCAGCTACCGACCAGAAGAATCTAGGTCTGTTGGGATTGGCAAGCAGTTTATTCCTAACTCCCTGATTTCGAAATTATTTGCTTTCATTCATTCTAAGTTTGCAGCTGTTGAGAGCATTCTAATTTCCAAGTTCCTCGCAACAACTGATCATAACACTTATTCCTATTCGATAGTAGCTCTCTGAAAATGTGTATTCGACAAAAATGAACGTGAATCAGAATTATTATTTCAGTCAATATCAATCAAGTACTTTTGACGTAAAAACAGTACATTCAACGATGCAATTTTTTCAAATAATTTATGATAATATTTATAATTTATCATATCGCTCAAATGAAGTTGTTTCCATTATACATCCACCTAGTAAAAAAATGTGCTATTAAAATAATCATTGATGTTTAAGTTTTTACGTAAACATATTACAGGCATTCGGAGTTCACCTGCTAGAAGCGTTTATCATACAAACACTCATCGCCTTTCACTTGAGAAATATTCCGTTGACCAATAATTGTTTATAATATATCCTTCGATAAGGTTAATGGGTCATTCTGAACATATATGGATTTTGCTTCTCTGAAATGAAAATCTGACTGAAATACAACAGAAATGGGGAAAAAATATAACTGCGTTTAAATATAATTAAGTGATCCTTCGTATAATTTGTCCAACTGTATATGCCAGAATTGAAGAATACCTGAAACGCAGTAACATTTTTTGCCAAATTTAATGATTGCTTTCCACGTTAAATTCATTTTTGAGAGTTTTTCGCAGAAGAAGATGTCCATCAAGATTTGTCTCTCAAGGCTCATGCCGTTGTTTCAAACATCTCTTTCTACTGTTCGATCACGAATGTTCTATTTTTGGGCTCTGGTCCTAACCAATTTTATTGCAGTGGAAACTACAGTGGAATAGAGAAAACGATTTTGTGACCGATTTCAAAGCTTGGCTTCGCAACTAACAACTGTAATATAAACGATATATGTATGTATATACAGTTTTATCTATTATTATCAAATATACCGACGGTTTCCAGTGTAATAAATGCTCATTTGTCATTCATTTATTTTCTAAAATTAATTTGGCAGCAGTTTTTCACATCAAATTTTGAATATCAAGGTAGGTCCGAAAAAGCTGTAGGGTTCGTGCCGATCGCACGAGCGCCGGTCTTTTTGAAACCTAACTACACCGTGTACCTGTTTGAGACTTTTATCCTTCTAAGATCCAAACAAAATAAACGGGTATTTTTATAGACCATAACAAATAACCGAGTAGAAATATAACACAGGAGTAAAACAAAAGCAATAAGCAAAAATATTCGAAAGGTCAGATAAAAGTTTACCAAGAAAGCACATCTCAAATAGCTGATTGTCAAACAAAAAGTATATCTTTACCAACTTGTGAAATCTTATATATTATCTCATAAGTTAGAATTCCGACATACGCGAAAAACTAAATTACTCTACTCGAGTTTTGTGGAAATTCTGAAATGACTATTTGAAATTGTCTGGCAGCCGTACTATTTTTTTGTCAAACCCGGGTGTACTAAACCTTCTTGGGGGCTGATAAAAAATCCAAATCGACTCACGATACTATACTGAGTTCTGGTCTCCCTCTCTGGTACGGTATCCGTGTAAAATACTTATTCGTTCTAAGTGTCATCAAACGAAATTACAATTAACTCACAGACCGCAATTTACCGTAATTCCACTATCGCAAAATCCGTTTTCGGAAAGTTTCTTGACGCGATCCTCTTCCGCAACTGACTTTCGCAACTCCCTTTCGCGACTCTCCCAAATTAACTTTCTATCGCTGAGGAATCTTTTTGCAACTGACTTTTTAACTCACTTTCGAAACTTCTCTATAACAATTCACTTTCGCGACCGACTTCCCGCAACTCTCTTTCGCAACTGTCACCCAATCAACTTTAGCAACTCTCTTTCGCCAAGGACTCTTTTTGCAACTCCTCTATCGCAAAATCCCTTTTCGCGACCCTCTTCCGCAACTGAATTTTGCGACCGATTCGCGACCCTCTTTCGCAACTGTCCGATCGCCACTCTCTAAATTAATCGACTCCCCCAACTGTCTGATCGCCACAGTCCCAATTAACTGACTAATTAGTATTTTCTAAAAACTGTCTGTAACACCCCTCCGTTGTCCGTCCCTATTCCCTATTCCGATATGACCGAATTTTCTGTCCACGAATCTGAAATGCAAACTCAAAGCTTGCATTTTCGCGTCCCCAATATTGTAACTCATCAACACGATACGTTTGTTTAGTGTAGCTGGAAGAAACATAATCTGCATGATGCCTATGAGGTTCAACAATCATAGATTAAATTCAACGCTTACTCTGTTGAAAAAGTATTGATATCGAAAAGCCAAATGATCAACCCCCATCTTTATGAATGAAATGATATTTTTCGTTAACTATCACAATGGCAGTTATTACACCGTGAGAGGCCACGTTGATCTTCGATATTCGAGGACGAATTTGGATTTCCTGAACCAAATTCAATGAAGGAAATTTATTCAATTCCATTTGATCAGTTAGTAAAGGTGCCAAATTCCTGAATCTATAGATTTCTAAGTATTCGTAAAGCTTGAGTTTCAGACATTTCTCTTTCAAATATAACACGTCATGTTGGCCGTTGAACTGTTTACTCTCTACCAACTGATAGCTTGCAAATGTGGAATCGGTCTTCACATTCAAAAAACTAATTCCATGTTATTTGATTGTTTGATGAAAAGTTTTTCCCGTTTGGCCAATATGAAATTTTGAGCAAGAAACACAAGTTAACATATATACTTCAGATCTACCGGTGAATGGAGTGAGATCGCCAATCCTTGTTTTCAAAATATTTGCCCAAAATATTTTTTGTCCTGTAAGCTACTTCTAAGTCTCCATTCAATTATGTAGAAGACGTACAAGGACTTTCGGCAAACTATTCCTCCACTTTCAGGAATATAATAATCAATATTACTGGAGTTCTTTCCCAACACCATATCGTTTTTTTTAACACATCAAATTCGTTACTACACCAAAGGTTCCAAACAGTTCATCATAAAAATATAATAATCATTTAAAATCAACTGAAAGAACAAGTTGTTCCGGCCAGTCTATCACAAAACAGCTATTTCCCTGGCTAATACTACGAACGGCGTTAGATTATATCTAACAGGTATCAGTGCAGAAATCTCCACAGAAGTATTTCCTGCATATATGTTGGCGATACAACTGCTAGAATCGATTTAATTATAGGAACGGGCACACTTGCAGACAGGTTTCGGACTATTTGGTCTCTCGTTACTGCAAGGTAGTGGTCATTATCAACCTAAAGTTGATGATATTCCATAATCAAATATCGAACATCTTTCAGAGTATCATTCCTCTAATTAGGCTGAAGCCGACGACAAACGACAAATTTGTCATCTCTCCATCTGGTAAACTAGGTAGGTATAGTCGAAGTAACCGGTATTGTGGATAGTTACAGCTATTGGCGAGCTCAAAGGACTGAATAATTGGCGGTTCGTATTGAATAATTTTTGCTAACCGAGTTTTATGACTGGCTGAAGAGTCATGAAATTAAATTTGAAGTCATGTTACAGTGACAAATGCTAGGATGTTTAAATACTTCGTGTTGTCAATGTTCAGTTCAGAAATGATCGCGATTTTCATGAATAAATTCGATATTGGTGCAGTTATGAGTATTTGTAATTTTTGTTATCTGTTTGAAATGTGGCGTCCTTGGACAAGTGCTAATAATAATAACTAGTGTGATAACAACACAAACTTTTCCTGTGTAGTGATTCCAATAACGATGGTGAACAATGCAAAAAAGAGATACAAGTGGATAAGACTCGGATGCATTTGAATATTGAAACACAGAAAGTATGTTTAAATGTATCTAAGAATCTACATCTCAAGTTTGGTTTCGAGGAAAACAAACTCTTAGGAGTAACATCAGATTTGACCGAAATTCCTTTATTAACTGTAAGTAAAATAGTCAAAAACCAACCTTATTAAGGCAAACGCGATGTGATACGGAATTACCAAAACCTTCAGATATTCATCTAATAATACTTTTGAAAAAAAAAACAATATTTGACTTTTACAAAAGCAATTAGATTCCTACAACTGAAATCGTAAAGAAGAAATTGGATACTTCCGGCCATAACGTGAGCTGCTGTGTCAAAACTCCTCAGAGTTGGATGAAGAAACTGACATTTAGATTCAAAAAAACAAACGTCAAGCAGTTATGGAACGCAGAGAATAGTGGAATTTCGTAACAAATATTTAGAACAAATAACTAAATATAGAAAAGAACAACGGCAAATTTCCTATTTGAACGGCACAGTTACGAAGGAATAGACTGATCGTTCGAGAATATGTACGCCTAACATGCATGCAAACAAAGGATCGCGACTAATAATTGTGCATTGCGCAAGAACTAAAGGATAAGTTTCAAATTCTTTGATCATGTGGAAAAAAACTTGAGGATTACAATGTTGACTATCATAAGAACATGGAAGCTAATATTTTCGAGGAACGGTTTCATAGAAATGTTTTTATGAAATGTTTTTATGAAATTAGCTGTTTCAGGAGGTCATTTTCTTCCAGTTTATGTCTGAAAGTTACTTCTTTGCATGATCTACACATCCATCTATAGAGTTACTTATTTTAAATTGATTACGTCCTTCCTTTCTTTGGAAGATTCCCACATTCTTTGTATCAAGATGGGGTAGTAGAAAGCCAAAAACTTCCTTTCCAAAAAAATTTGTCACTCCTAAGAATATAATCCCCTTTATTTCAATCTGTAATGTTCCACACTGCAGTTTTGAACTTCGCCTTTTGGTTGTTATAGTGTATTTCACCCGAGATCATTATTATCATTGTTAAAAAACGTGTAAAAAACGCTTTTTGCCATGATTCTTGGTATTGATTGAGAAGTGTTTTCTCTTATAGGTTTTTATAGAATAATACTGCGAATGATGAATATTTTGAGGGTTGTTCAGTTAACATATCAGATAAACATCTATGGTTATGTACTCGTATTTAGTTCAAAATTAATTACATTAGAAAATAATTTTTTCAAATAGTCTTTTGATCAGCTTTTCTTCCACCATGATTTATTAAGTTTGTGGAGATCAAATCGTAAGGTGAAGTTTATGAGAAATTCAATAAAATTCACAAACACGAATCAATATTGAATCGGTAAATGAGATGAAATGAATTCATTCAGTACTAGGTGATATTTTCAAGAACTCACATTTTATCCATGGTATGTTGCATGCAAGGAGACAAAGGATGCTTGTTTTCGAAATAATCTGGATACAAAGATCTCATAGTGTAGTACATGCCTATTTTCTGCTTGACGTTTTCAACGCTGAACTTATTCATTATCAGGAAACTTGTAATCGTGTGGTCATCTGAAATATAATTGTTAATTTCATTTATCTCTCAATGGTGAAAATGATTCATGATGCTATTATTATTAACTTCATGATTTTGAAATTAAAATTATTGCTCTTGAGAAACTCCACAGCTCCGTTTCTGTTAATATTATCATAGTGAGTAGCATGCTAATATTACCATATACATAAAACATGATATTATTGCAAAAAGAATTTCAAGAATTCATCATAGGAGGGACCGAATCTTCCCAACTTTCTTTTCTTTGGAATTTGCAAGAAATCATTCTAATAACTGACTTTGAATTAGTAGAGAAGTTCGAACACGCTTGAGGCTGTTTTTGTGTTGAGCATGAAAATCATTGTCATTTGATATCAAATGATATGGTACCTCAAAGGCAGGCTGAATCTGAGTATAGTTTAAAGGTGAATGCCAAAGCAATCAACTACTGCGACGTAAGTATGCATTATAGAATAACTGAATACAGTACAAGAAATGAAAAAAAATGAAGGTACTAACAGCTTCTGCATATCAGGACGATCAAAAAACAGAAATGAGAATGAAATGAAGTAGATATTTTGAAAAATCTGCCAGAGTGAAAGTTTGAGGGGAGTTAATAGAATAATCAGAAACGAAAGCCAACAGTTGGAACTTTCGTTAAAAAAATCAGAGTAGGTATCAAAGTGAGTATAGTTTGAGGTTTATAGCTTGAAACATTGTTCCATAATGCGGTAAGCTGCGGTACGTCGGTTGCCATATACAGTGCCAAATGAAATAAATTCATTGTGTCGGTTACGGTACATATTTCAACAAAATTATAATTCGACATACTTCAACGGAAAAATGCTACCCCTACCTTCAACCCTCGTCGAATGACAGGTACAACCCCTAATTTTCAAATGGAAAGTATAGGCTTGTGATATATCGTTTGAAACGTATCTTCATTCTCAGTTCAAAACTGTAAATGAAAATCATGTGGTTACCGAAATTCGATAAAATACACATAAAACTTATTGCAACATACTCAAAACTTATTTCATTTTGGAGTATTGATGATAAAAAAGTATGCAAAAACCATAGCAATGTTCTTTTTAGATGGTATCCTTTGAAAAACTGTAAATAATTTCCGTAAGTTTGAAACGCTTTGTCAAGTTGTTTTGTATGTTACAACATTAGTTGTCAGTATTTCAATTCAAGTTGTGAGTTCCTTAATTTTAGGTTTGATGAATAGTTAGATTAACGAAAATGCATAAAATAACAGTTTTACAAATGATTGATTCAGGAGATAAAACACGATCACAACAAAGAAAAATTCACTAATTTACCGCCCATATCTCAAAGAACAATAAGCAAAATATAGAAGCAGTTCCGCCAGCTTCGTCATGTGGGGCAGTTTGAGGAAAACACACATACATCTAGTAGTAGATAGGCATCCACTACATTCAATATAAACCATTCATCGATATTCAACACATTAAGAGAAAATAAAACGCAGATTCCTATACAATAATACCTACTTAGAAGCTTATGATGGATAACAATATCATCCAATTAGAAGACATTATGGTTTCTGATGAGTGTACTGTGTCTCTTAAAACGGTCATACTTATCGGCAAAATTGCCTCTACTGGTCAACGGAAAATTCTCACTGGATGAGAGAACACAAGCAATACCCTCAAAACGTTAATGTTTGGGAAGGAATTGTAGAAAACCATATCATTGGTCCCTTTTTCATTGAGGACAACTTGAATAGCGATAATTATTTGGCACTACTTCAAAATGATGTCATTCCAAGTTTAGCAAATTCATATCCTGATCCAGGAAACCCTCAAGTTCCAATGGATACAATATGGTTTCAGCAGGATGGAGCACCACCACATTATCGAGTTAATATCCGGCAATACCTCGATACAACATTTCTCAATAGGTGAATAGAGGGCGAGGATCGATTGAATGGCCAGCGCGATCACCTGATCTTTCATCATTAGATTTCTTTTTATAGGGATATATAAAGAGCAATGTGTACAAAACTAAACCTTCAGATTTGAATGACTTAAAAGAACGAATAACGATTGCGATTAGGTCGGTCACGCCTGATATTTTAAATAATGTTAAAAGACAATTCCATTTGAGATTAGGATGTTGCCAAGATGTTCACCGTGAACATTTTGAACATCTCCTTCGTTAAGTTTCATAGTTCTTTTTCGATTCTACATTTCATTACGTTTTGCTTTACACATCAGTTTTTGACTGTATTTTATCGAATTTCGATAACCACATGAATTTAAATTATTTTATTACATTAGTTTATTACGAGATCAATCTTATAGCTATAATATAATTTTTATTCAAAGTTTAGTTCTACTCACCTGGCATTTCCGGTAAGTGTGGTTGTGTTTTCACCCATTTTTTCACTATCATAATATTTTCCTTCAAATCCTCCTCAGTTTTATTGTTCACCTTCAAAGCTCGATCTAGTATTCGAGATATATTTTCAAAATATTCCTTCTTTTCCTCCATACTGAATACAACTCGTCATCAAGTCGATAAGGAGTTGAAATTTACAACGATATTTGCTGAAAATGTCCATAAAGAGGGAAACATGAGCTTTCGTATAACAACTACTTTTCATAAACGGTCTTTACAATCATTAGGCGGATTAGTTGTCACAGAGTCGTGTGACTTTGATGTAAAAGACATGTAATAGGATCTAATCAATTTGATATTCGTAGGATATTGATGTAAAGGTAAATGTTCGTTTTGTGGACACCCGGCGATTTTGAAAAAATGTTTGCGTGTTCTAAGTTGCCCTTTTCAGAACTTTGAAGGGCCGTAACATTGTAAATAAGGGAGAGCGCCGCTTTTTTTTCGGATTCGTAATCTACGCATCAAAATACGTAAGTACACGCAAACATTTTTTCAAAATCGCCGGGTGTCTACAAAACAAAAATTTACTGATGTAAACATAGCAAGTAACGCATTGTTTGAATGGTGAACGAATGATCACGAATAAAATTGTGGTTTTTTTTCAAAAATACCTTTTTGGTCTTCTACTTCCGATCCACCGAAACATCCACCGATGTTTCTTCATATACAATCTGAATTGAAAGTCCATCCGGGACAACTATTTTCAAACATATGAATATTTATTCACACCAAGGTCATTTTTTGTTATTCAGTAGTTCAATCATTCGTAATGGATTTGGATTCTCAAAATTGCGCCTAGAAATTGCCTAGACGAACGTCTTGTTATTTTCCGAATCGAAAATTTCCAAGGATTCCAATCAATTATACATAAGCATTGCGGAAGTAACTCACTAAATGACCAAATCACCGTCTCTCATTTCCGATAGTATAGGTATATGAGTTGTATATTGCTAATTATTTCAGTTTATTGAATTCGTTTGAAAATATTCTTGTAGGACGAACTGCAACTAATTACAAATGAAAGTGGTATAAAAACATAAAATGTTTTAATTCCCATGTTTCGTGTATATCTCCTATCAAGTAGTGACTAATGGCTGTGTCCATCAATTTATTGAATATATTGTAGTATACTTATAATTACAAAAGACATTTCTGATGCTGAACTATTAATGAGTATATAAAAATTCAAATTCATCTACATTATTTGAATATAAAGAAGTTTATTTAAATCATGATAAAATTATTTCGGAACTACAGAAATGAATATAACACAAAATCACTTTTGTTATTGTTCTAAACAACTTCATCAATTTCAATTCTTCATCTCTATCAATATGAATGTTGCAATAATTGTAACAAAGATGATACTTACCTGCCTCTGCTATAAAGAACCGGTCGAAAGAAATTCACTTTAACGACTGTAGCGATCAAATTCATAACTTGTTTCACATCAATATTTATTTTCACGATCTGCATCTCATTAACAAACTCAGTTTGGTGGTAACACGAAGAGTAGTATCGAGGACAAATCAATTTTCATAGAAAAATTTAGAATAACTCCCAATTTATTTTTAGTAATCTGTGAACAATCTAAGGAAGCGCAGACGGAATTTCTAATTTCGAGTCGAAATTTTGAAATTGAAGTCGAAATTTATAGTTTATCATTATTATAGAAGTCCAAATTTGGAGATGAAAGTCGTGATTTTGAGATTAAAGTCGATTATTCGGGTTTCAAGTCGAAATTCTGAATTCAAAGACGAACTTTTCAGACTGAAGTTCAAATTCAGAGTTAAATGTCGTAATTTTGTGAATCAAGTCGAAATTTCAAGAATAAAGTCGATATTTCCAGTTAAAAGTCAGGGTTTCGAAACTGGAGTCGAATTCAGAGTCGAAATTTAGTGATTGAAGTTCCAAATAGAGTTTGAATTTTTACTTTCAAGTCGAAATTTTAAGATAGAAGTCGAAATTTTGAGATTGAAGTCAAATTTCACAGTTTGAATTCGAAATTTTCGAGATTAAAGTCGGAATTTTCAGTTTAAAGACAAAATTTCGAAATTGGAGTCCTAATTCGAAGTTGAAAGTCGTAACTTTGAGATTGAAGTCGAAATTTTCAGTTTCAAGTCGAAATTTTTGAAATTGAAGTTGGAATTTCTAGTTCAAGTACGAAATTTCAAAATTGAAATCCAAATTCAGAGTTTAAGGTCGAAATTGAAAGATTGACGTTTGAAATTTTCAATTTCAAGCCGAAATTTTGAGATTCGATTCGTAATTTTGAGTTTCAAAAAAATTATTTCGGAGAAATGTATCTTCACTGTAAAGACACGCACGAAGTAGCCATTGTATGGCGATACATGTAATGCGTTTTTGTGAAATTGTTTAGTGAAAATCTCACAAAAAAGTGTTTTTCAAATACGTTATATATGGATTTTCGTCAAATTTCGGCCAATTCCATCTTATAATTCAAAATAGTACTCATTTTGAATTTTTTGCGTTTGAATAAGTTGACAATATCAATTACTTGGACTTGTAACTGACCGAAGTTATGTCTGAATTATAATCTAATCGTTAACGATTGGTGTTTCGAAAAATAAATGTATGAATTGTTGAACACCGGTTTGACAGATTAGCGCGATTAGCCAGTGTTGCGAAATTTGGCACGTATATTCTGAGGTTGAAAATCATAGGCATGAATAAAAATATGTGCTATTCAGAATTCATGATATGTACGTTTTTATTTAAGTTCATCAACAGAAAAACAATTCGAATGTTCAAATTATTTCCAACGACAAAAAAAAAGAAACCAAATGAATATGCTCCATCTCCCAGCTCATATATGTTCAATCTATAGCAACTTTCTTGAAATGTCCGTAGTATCCTAAAACTTCGTCATTTATCAGAGGAGAGGGTCTGAGCTCTTCATTCACGCGCAGTGTGTTCAGAATATCAAACCTTTCTTTGTAATCTGTGAATTTTTGCCTCCAGATTTCTGAAAAAAGTAAATTTATGAGAATAAACTCAACTGGAAATTCAAATTGATATTTATTTCGAATTTATCGCAAAAATGTTATGAATAGATGAATTTTGGATGGAAATTTTGTGAATGTGAACGGGGTTTCCTGACTCCCCAAAATAAAACAAACTTGACATCGATGGACTTCTTTTCAATTTCCTAGAAATCAAATTTGAAAAAGGCCTTCAAAATTGTTCAAGTACTGGGCAATCCAAGAGACTCAATGACGTGAAAAAAAGACTGATATTCACGAAATAGGCTGCAAGGTTTACGATTGAAAGGATGTTGGTCAAACTGAGACGACTATGATAAACTGTTTGGAAGAACATGTTCCACATATTCGATTTCGTAGACCTGATAAATTCAGTACTGCTCGACATGGCTTATAGAATGACTACAGAGTAAATGTGGAATGTTTTGAATGGTTAAGACCACCTTTGAATGTTTAGATATTGAAAAATGTATAAATGCTCAATAAACAGCAATACTAATTACAAGTATGAACCAGTTGAATATTAGATAGCATGACGAGTAGTCATCAATATAATAATTAGAAATCATGATAAAATCACAAACCTAATACTAGGAATCCTTTCAAGACCCTCATTACCAGAGGTGATGATGTATATAAGAGTTTTATCTTCTCCTAATGATGCTCACATGGTTAGCAAAACACTCTTCGTAAGTAAGTGCTATCTTTCTATTGTGGGAAAAGTATTTTCGTCATAAGTTTCACACAAGCACTAATAAAGAGTTATAGAATAAGCCAAATTTGCTAAGGATGAGAAATGTCATATCAACATTGTCTTGTACATGAATGCACAAGAACATCATCATATGAAAAATATTTATCAAATAGTGTTGCAAATCCTCAATCACTTTTCATCTATTCAGTATAACTTTTCAATTGGATGAATGATTTTTTTCATTTTCAGAAGTTCCTAGTTGATGTGCTGCTGAAAAAGTTCAAAAATCATTCGACACTAACGAAATCAAATCAACTATCAAACTATCAACTATCAAACTATCCATTTGAATGGTAATGTGATCAAAAAATTCACCATTATATTCTCTCAATGTGAGACCAGTGCCACCATAATCCTTAGGCAAGATATCTTTTGAAACATAGTCCTGTATAGTATCAGTTGATTTATGGAAAAAGAACTGAAAAAAAAAACTGTATCATTATATGTTTCAGAATGAATTATTTTCAGGTATCATTTTTGAGTGTAGACAATTGTTAACGAATCGAGAACATAACCCATTTGAGAAACTTAAAAACTCGTAATGTAAAACATAGTATTATTTCATGCCACCCTCAAAATTTAATTCGTGAGAGCGGTTCATATGCCGTCAGTTTCAAAAGTATTCGTTTGAGAATTTCATATCGATTCGTCGGTAAATTTTGATTCAGGTGCCCTTTAAGTGAACAGTGTCTCTATATTTTCGCTAATCAGCATCGATTGGCAAAATAATTGAAATAATAACAATGATCCTATGATGCACTGTTTGGAACCTTTGGTGTAGTAATGAATATTGTTGGAGTTTTTCCCAACACCAACTCGTTATTTTCTCGACATGTGTTTCGATCACCAAGTGATCACCTTCAAAGGGAAAATATTAAAACTAGAAACTGATACTAGCTAACCCTATTTATGCTATAAAGGTAACCCATACAGGTAAACCATCCAGGCGTACCAACCATACAGGTATGCCAACCTAAATTATTTTTACAATTTTGCCTTATCTATTATTTCACAATATATGTTTATATAAAACAATTTTCAGCTTTATAAAAATTAATTTCACAATATTGCCTATCCGAATTCATTTTTGCAATGTGTCCTTATGTAGTAATCAATAAACCCAACAACATTATTTTATTTTAACAAGCTATATAGTATGCTCTTTGGTATAGGTCCGTCATCGTTATTCATTGTATGAACATCAGAGCGAAATGTACATATAAGTTTCCACTTACTCCCTGCATTCAAAGAAACTTTGAGTTAATTGTCCTTTGGTTGGAAATTGAAAAATATTTCATTGGAAATAAATCGGGAAATAGAGTTCAGTCAGATACTATCTGCCGGGTATTTTCGGTTCGCGTGTTGTGTTGTTTCAATGTAAACTAGAACAATGAAGAAAAGAAAATTGAAACTTTCTATGTTTTTTACCACTTTCATTTGTAACTAACGTTACTGCAGTTTCGTTCTATAAGGACATCTTCAAACTCATACATTATAAGTTTTAATGTAACTAACGTTACTGCAGTTTCGTCCTATGAAACTTATGTGTATAATTATAATGTATAAGTTCGAAAATGTCCTTATAGAACGAAACTGCAGTAACGTAACTTACAAATAAAAGTGGTAAAAAACATAGAAAGTTTCAGTTCTCTTTTCTTCATTATGATTTCCCACCACGTAGTAACGGCTACATCCATCAATTTATTGAACTAGAACAGCCTCCTGTGAACAAGCAATAATGAGTTTGTTTCATGATTTTTGGTTTTTCAGTTCATTTGATAGTAATTTCGAATTGAAATTCCTTGCATTTTGTTTCAGCGCTCTAAATACCGTTGTTTTCGCGAAATTATTTATTAAAAATCGGATTTCCTAGGCCTGTGACGTCACGAGCCTAATCCCGCTTCTTGTTCGATTGACCAATAGAAACAAAACAAATAATTAACATTGCCAAATCGTAAACTTCACGGAGCATATGAACAGTTTCTGAATCACATGGGATCCAAATGACACAAAACGCAATGAAAATGTTATTTTTTAAATATTTAATAATACGAGTGTAAATGAACCCGTTAACGTTTAAATTAATGAAAACATTCTCCACATGAAATAAAATGTACACGAAAACCATGGTTGGAAATAACTCCTATATCCAAAATCAGTACACAAAATCGAAAGATTGGATTTTAGAAAACAATACACTTGGCAACACCACTGTAGACACGATCAATTCTATTGGTCAACAGAAACGCGGTCAATTTGAACTCCAGCTCGTCGACTTGTTTTTTGTTTCTGCAAATATTAAGAGATCTTGTTATCGATTAGGCTCGATCAGTCTATAAGCAAACCAGTATCATTTCCAATAGTAATAAACAAGTCCATTCAAACTTTCAAAGAGGGCTCATATGGATTACCATATTCTCAATTCGATATCAATCGTAATAATTTCTCGTGACTCACTTACCCTTTGTGCGATCTTGGGATTTAAAAGTCTTCTTGCTAGATTTATAACGGGTTCAGCAAACGATGGATAATTGAGTAGATGTATCTGTTTGATATTGTTGTTGAATGCTTTCTGAAAACCATATTTTAATGAAAACTTATACGAACTTATAATTCCGTAGTGGGTGACTTTCAATTGAAGGAAGAATGAAATATTATTTTCAATCAACCTAACAGCTAGGACTCTGATCAGATGATGAGCACGACGACCCATAACAGAACGGAAGAGTTCAAAATTATTATTATAAGAACTTATAATTCCGTAGTGGGTGACTTTCAATTGAAGGAAGAATGAAATATTATTTTCAATTAACCTAACAGATAGGACTCTGATCAGATGATGAGCACGACGACCCATAACAGAACGGAAGAGTTCAAAATTATTATTATAGGCAATTATATATAAACGACTATATCATTATAAGAAACTATAGAAACAATTAACAAATATATTGAGTTGGCAACTCTATAGGAATGAGGTATAGTATAGAAAGGAATTGACAGTTAGTAAATTACTAGAGCAATCTCTATATAATCCAACACACACAAATGAACTTCCCGAGATAAATATTGAGATGTCATTCTTCTTGTTTCATTTTATTATTTACTCAAATTTTGGCATATTGCACTATATAACTGAAATTTACATCTATACATGTAGAAGACAGCACAATGAAAGGACTGGTAATGAGTGGATATCCACAGGGAGGGGTATTATTACCCCTTCTCTGGAACATAGTTCTGGATACCCTGATTCATCACCTCAACAAAAATGAATTCTACACAATTGCATACGCTGATGACATAGTTATCTTGCAGACTGGCAAATTTGTGAACACACTGTGCGATAGAGCGCAGGATGGGCTCAAATTAATAAAAACATGGTGTAAGTAACACCTACTGTCGATCAATCCAAAGAAGACTGAGATGGTCCTTTTCACCAGGATATGAAGTTTATCGGGTTTAAAATCTCCCGCAATCTTCAAAAGCAAACTAAACTTCTCTGAAGAAGTGAAATACTTATCCTCGACAGGAAGCTAACATGGAACTCCCACCTACAGAGCAGACCAAAAAGAGCATATGTGGCTTATGAGCAATGTCGGAGGACAGTGGAACGCGCATGGGGTCTTTCACCCTGTGTGATCACCTGGATCTACACTGCAATAATAAGACCTAAGTTAACATACGGAGCCATTGCATGGGGACCGAAAGTTCTACAAGTAACGGCCATCCAAAAATTATACCAGCGACTGGCGTGTTTAAACATCACATGAGCCACGACAACAACACCAACCGCGGCAGTGAAATTAATTGCGGGTCTAACCCCTCTGGACCTGTACGTTGAGGAGGTTGCGTTAATGTCCATAGTACCATTACGCATAGCTGGTGTAACCTTCGAAGTAGGAATGGGTCAATTGAGGCTGGACCTATGGCGGAAAGCGCTTACTGCGCAACCTCTGCTGCAGTGATGCAATTGAACCCAGGTTTGTGTTTGATAAACCCTACAAAATACAAACTGAACAGAACATAGAGTTAGATGCTACAAATGCAATACACATACATATAGACGGCTCAAAAACCAAAGAAGGCTCAGGATGTGGAGTGTACTCCAGATCACTAAAGCTAAAGATTAAGTGGAGAATGGAAAGAAATACCAGCGTGGTCCAAACAGAACAGGCTGGTATCTCAATCGTCACAAAAGAAATAACCAGGAAAGACATTTCTGGCAAAAACATAAAAATCTGCACTGACAGCAGACAAGCCCTATTAGTCTTGAACAGACAACGTATAACCTCAGGGCTAGTACTAGAGTATCACCAAGATTTAGCCAAAGCCTCGGTAGATAATAACGTAATCTGAGGTGGGTTAAAGGGCACGACATGAGTAATGAGTACGGCCTGATGACCCTGACAATTTCAGAACTAGCCAAATGTTACACCCATGCTCAATCCTTAAAGAGATGAGATGGAGTCAATGGATGCAATCTTGCCAGGATCACCCTGGGTGACCCTGGGAAGCTGACTCTGAAGATATATCTGGCGATGACCAAGATTTCTGACTGGCAACTGTCAACTAAGAAAAAAACCTCCATAATATGGAGCTAGATATGGAGAATATGGATCTGTGAACATGAAGATGATACTGTCAAGTATGACCTATGTGAGTGCCCGAAGTTATCGTCAATAAGAGAGTGTGTATTCGGTGAGTCTTTGCCTACACCTGCCAATATAGAGGAGATGTCTCCCAGTGACCTGTCCACCTTCCTGGAAAGGACAGAATGGACGATGACCTAGGACAACTCCTCGGGAGGATGTAGAATGGGTCACATGTGCTTTCACTCACCCTCCCTACTCTACAGATACAGAGAGATGGATTCTACAGCAAATATGTTACTGTTTTTGAGGTATTCTCAATGATAGAGTTGTTTCACTCCAATTGACTGTATTCAATATTCTTTGTGTTCCAACCTTCTCGTTTTTTATAGCGGTCATTATGTTTTCTTACCTCTAATATTGTAGAATAGTTTTTTATTTGCGTAGGAGTGCATTGTGCTAAATGTCCCAAATTCAAATTTTTGCAATCGTAGACCATAATATCACCAACATTGTAATCCTCTTTCATTCTCACTTCGATTACGTTGTATAAGAGAGAATAAAAATTGATGATATTCAAATCTGCATTCTCTTCAAATATACAAAAAATAATCACTCGATATTCCTCATCTGTTGCTTTTGGCATTGGTATAAAGCACCTGAAAACAAATGAATCAGTAGCTTAAAATTTTTTGAAGCTTGAAGATTGATTTGAAGCAGTCGGGAATGATGTAATAATAGACATTAAGGTTGATTCGAAAAGCTATGTAATATGAGCATGCTGAAAGTAATGATTGTTCATGAAGCTGGAAGAGAAAATCGGAGAAGAACATTTCAAACAAAGGAAAATTGAATTCTGTAGAAACTTGGCACGATAAAATTCCTTCAGCACTATGTGCTACACAATCATTCGCAGAAGGCGATCATATCTGAACCATATGATATCCTAACTCCGGACCTCTTTGGATCGCTTTTCACTTCTTATATGGTATGATACATGTGTGGTGGCAGAAGCATTCAATGAGTATGTCCCCTCGTACACTTTGACTTGGGGCAAAAAACACAAGCACTACAGAAAAATTATTGACGGGCTCTAAGAGTGCCTATGCAAAAGTAGCGATTCACGTTGAATTTGAATCGTTGAAGATTAAATCCATTTGGAAAAACGTTATCATGGAGATTATTTCATATGAACGCAGTTCTCTAAATGAATTCTCAAACAGTGGAGTTCGACGTGTACTGAGTTGAACTTCGAAACGATGAGCAGTCACAGTCCGTCGCGTATTTCTGATATATACCGCTCTTGGTGGAATCGAATGAGCCAAGTTACTTGAATATCTCCCGTGAAAGTGTCAATAAAAGAATGACAAATCTCCAACCTTTCTTCGATGTTCCAGACTATCAAGGATACGAATGATGTTCGTGTCTCCAATCAGGCGGATGGCTCTTTTCTGAATGAAATCCAGCAGCAGGGTATGCTTAGAGGCAACTACGAAAGCTAGTCTTCTGCTGAACTATATTTCTGAATTTTCACGCCAAAAAGTACAGTGAGGACGTATAAAGTCTTCACCCCCCCCCCTCCCTCAAGTTTTGAACGAAACAAGGTATCGAGGTCGGATGATATTCAGATGAAACGGTACTAATTTTACTACGTTTTGGCATAAAATCGATTGTGGTTACGTGGCCCAGTGTAAAGAGGAAACTATCACCTTTTTTTGAATAAAAAGGGGCGTCACGTGGCTCCTGGTTTTGAAGGCCTTCCGATTTTCTATCCAACACCTCTGTGTTTGTGAAAATCGGTCAAGCCGTTTCAAACCAAGAAGCATTTGGAGTTTGCTCCAAATATTCAACAAATAAATTGTTTCAAGTATTGATAACAGCAGAATTTTAACTCCGTTACTGATTCTGGTCGAGAAGTCAATTTTTTTGTTCCAGTTTTTGTATACCTTAGTTATTTTGCTGGAGACTCCAAATAGCCTTTCATTTCATAGTCAGTCTAATATTGACGTCAATCGTATCAAAACTCTCGACTGTTTTCATAGGTTTTAGCATTTTTATAATTTTCAAATGCCCAGTCCCCGACCTTTGAAAGAGAAAGCCGAAGCAATTTTAATTTACGCTTAAGCTAGGCGTAATTACCATGAAGCAGAAAGAATATTTGATGGGCGCTTTCCAAATAATCCTACTACTTAATGGAACTGGTCAGTACATTTCAAAGGACTGGTTGTGTAACGAGGAAAAAAAATCTGGAAAAAATCTATTTCAGAAGAACAGCAAATCGACGTTCTGGCAGCTGTTGTTAATTATCCGCAACATACAACGAAAACGGTAGCCACGAATTGTGGCGTATCTACGAGCACTGTGAAAAAATATCTTAAAAAACACAAATTTCACTCATTTAAATTGAAAATACTGCATAAATCAACAGAAGATGTGCCGGATAGAAGACTACACTTTTGTGAGATCACGTATGACCGCATAACCCAAAATCCTGTTTAAATCAACTGTATTGGTTTGATTCCAAATGGAACAATGAATAGACAGAATGTGCGTTATTGCTCAGACTAAAATCCGCACGTTTTTCGAGAGGGTAAACTCCCGAGAAGATCAACATAAGGGCTGATATTTTGGATGATCATATCATAGGTCCAATATTTATGGCAGAAAATGTAATTTGGGATCTGTATTTGAATATGCTTTAAAATCAGATACATCAGAGTATTCAAGAAGTAGTTCTGGCAAACCCGAATGAATTAACAATGGATGTTACCTTTCAACAAGATGGTGCACCACATCACTACTACAGACTAGTCCGAAAATGGCCGAATGAGAATTCTCCGGGAAGGTAGATAGGCCGAACGTGACCCTATTGAATGGCCAGCTAGGTCACCTGATGTAACACCTTTGGACTTTTTTTATGGGGGTACATAAAATCCAAGGTGTACGTCACGCAACCACAGTCATTCCGGGAACTTATAGACCGAATAACAGATGTGTGTTACAGTATTACCCCGGAAACATTCAATAACGTTCGGAATGAATTCCAAAAGTATTGAACGGTGAAAATTTCGAGCACACACAATTTTGTGGCTATTAAAAGTTATTTTTCCAATTTATTTGTGACATATTTGAAGCAAATTTCAACACATCGATATTGCATTAAGACTCGGAAGGCCTTCAAAACCAGGAGCCACGTGAACCCTTTTTCATTAAAAAAAAAAATTGATGGTGCCCTCTTGAAACTAGGTTATATAGTGTCCGACCGAAACTGGTTTTTACGACCAAAACCGAAACCGAAAACGAATTTCGACAACGGTCTCAGTTTCGGCCGAAACCGAAACTTCCTTACAAGGATTATGTTTTGGGGGAAAAAATAAAGAAAACGTTATTATAATTATTAGTCAGTCTTTATTGTTTTATCTTTAAATCACAACGTTATGGAGTCTTCAACATAATAATCAACATAACAAACCCTTATTTAGGAAAAAATATTAATTGCACCTTAAAAATACCTAAAATAGGTGAGGTTTTCATTTGAGTAGGTGTAAATCCTTCTTTTGAATATTATTGATGATTTTTCAAAAATATTAAACATAAAATTACTTATTTAAGTTGTTACCTACTATCACAATAGGTATTCAATATTTATGTAATAAACAAAGTGAATCATAAAGTAAGTCACGACATGATTAGGCAAGTCGACGCGGCAAAGGTCTTCGTCATTTGTATGAAATTCAACGCGCCGAACATGACCCATCACAGCGCGGGAACTCCCGAATGCAGTGCGGGAACTCCCGAATGCAGTTTCGGTTTTGGTCGTAGTTTCGGCAGGTTTGCCGCCGAAACCGAAACTAAACCGAAACCGGTTTTTTTGCCGGAACTCGACCGAAACCGAACTTTCGGTCGGACACTATAGGTCAAGTGACCACAATCATCTTTATGCCAGAAAGTAGTAAAAGTTGTACAATTTTACCTGAATTTTACTCGACCTCAATAGCTTGTTCCGTTCAAAAGTTAAGCTCCCTTAAAAAGCCCTCCACCCTCCGGTGGAGGGCTTTTTACGTCCTCACTGTATATTAACAGAGCATAGTACTCAATTCCTCTTAGAAATATGAAATGAGACTTCGAAAGGACTGTAGTATCCAAGTCATCCATTCCTTTGTCCGGTATACGCAAGCTGATATGAGCGAATTCTGGATGCGATGATTATCAGAGATTATTTATGATTTTCTGAAGTGACAATCATATCAGATGGTTCTGTGAAGAACTGAATCTATCAAGTTTTTCGCATGGTGTAGTTCACGAAACAACGGCCATCACGCTCATGGAACTTCAGCTTGAACGGAATTTGTGCATGTTACTGACGGTGTTATATGATGCGAATGGACTATTTGTATTTTGGTCATAGCATTTTGTGGGAAAAAATCCCAGTTATAATTAATAACTCAGTTTCACAGAAGACGCAGAATACACGGACCGTGTATTACAGTTATGGAGTTCATTGTTGTATGTAACAAATTGATTGAAGTATTCAGAAAACATATTCTCTGTGATTGTAAAGATAAACAACATGGCCACATAATACAGTCTTTGATCTACTGATTGCCATTTCAAAGCTGCGAGCATTGTTTTCATTGGGGTGTATATGTTGCAATGTAAAATTACTCGCATTCCTCTCTTCTGAAATTTTTGTAACATTTGAATTTAATGTTTTTGTGAAAGATATAAAATAGAAGAACAGTAATTAAAATGTGGCTGGATTATCATTTTACATACAGTTGTTCGGCTAGATGAAGAAAGTTGTTCAGAAATCCTTGTGAAAAAATATAATTTTTTTGAAATTTTATTGCGGATGTATTAACAAAGGGATTTCATCTCCAAACATTTATAAATCCTACAAGCCACAAGTCAGGGCACCAATATGTCTTGGCACAATTATGTCACTGGAATTGCAAAAGCTGCTTCACAAAAACTTTTTTGGCTTGTTTGGAGTATTGTTCCCATGTATGAAGCTCCGCCCTTGAGCATACTCTGAAGCTACTAGATTCCATCCAAAAAAGAACCATCTGCCTGATTGGAGACACGAACATTACTTAAAACCTTCATAGTTCGGAACATCGAAGACAGGTTGAAGATTTGTCTCTCCTTTATAGATACTTTCATGGAAGGTGTTCATTTGATTTCACCAAGAGCGGTACATAACAGAAATACGCGACAAACTGTGGCTACTTATTGTTTTGGGATTCAACTCAGAACACCTCAAACTCCACTGTTCAATAACTATTTCATTCGGAGAACTGTGTTTTGGTGAAATGAACTTCCTGAGAACGTTTTTCCAAATGAATGAATCTCTACTTTCGCACAGTGCTTGTGTTTTCATTTAAAAAAAAGTTCGAAACTCAATATTCTACAATTACTGAAGGTCTGAAGTGAGTGGTTCTATTTATTCGACCCTTCACCACAACCCGCAAGGGTTCATTATGGCTCACACCTATTCACACTCGGCCAAATAAACCCAGCTTCTTAACGAAGCCGATTAGTTTGTATGGTGAGTGGTCTTTCAGGTCAGGTGGTAAAAGTATGGCTCTGCCGAACTCTAAAGACCTGATTCGGTCCCCAGCGGGACAGGCACAAAGTACATGCTCTGCTGTTCCATCATTTTCCAGACAGATACTATAGGGACCTATATATCACCGAAGTAGAAAAAGAAATCAAGAAACTAGAAGGCTTGGGAAAAATCCAGAATAAAAATAAAAAAGAAGAATTTCCCTCCTTACCCCCTCATAAAAGACCTTCAGGTGAGTTTGTAGCTCCCAAGAGGACCGCGCGTAGGAAAGAAATGCCAAAAGAGGTACTGTATGCTTGTCGAACATATACAACAGTCTCAGCGACACGGAAATGGAGACAGATCCCCCAGGGCCCAATGAGGTTAAAAAACCGAACAAAAATACTAGAAGTCTTCCGCCAATTGTAGTACAGGGAATAATCCCCATAAACAAGGCAATGAATGCTATAAAAGGACAGTTGGAGGAAGACATCTCAGTTAAATACACTGGGAGATCTACTACGAGGAAAGTCCACTACTCTCTAGTCAACACCATCAGACAGGCGGACACTCAGTTCCATACCTACACGCTTCCGGAGGACAAGACACACGCTTTTGTCCTTCGGGGGTTGGACTTTGCCCCGGAACCGGAAGAAATTGAGAATGACATGAGAAAACTCAGAAAGGTTAACGTGGCGACTGTGTACAGATTAAGGACGGATAGACGTCCACTGTACATGGTCGTCACAGACAAAGATGTTACCCTCAACTATTTAAAAAGAAACGTCCCATGTGTCCTTTTTACGAGGATCACATGGGAACTCAAACGAAATACCAGAAAGCTGGTGCAATGTCACAGGTGTCAGCTATGGGGCTAGTGACCTGTAAGAAGGCCTGTTAGATATCGCAGTTCATCCCTACTGTAGTCCAACAACTGTTTGGAATCAAGCTTCGTGAATAAACGTCTTGGAGTGGAACAATCCTGAAAGATTCTGCCAGAAGTCCATAAATCTTCCATCCAGGTGTTCAGTGTTTGTTTGGCAAAGCCCAAAGCAATGGCAATGACAGGTTCTTCGTCCAGTGAAGCCGCTTGCAGCACCCTCCTTTGCAAGAGAGTCAGCAGCTTCATTGCCTTCCAGGCCAGTATGGCCAGGAATCCAGACCAGAGACAATATGTTGAGTCTTTCTATCGAGAAGAGTCGTTTTTGGCAATTTGCTACCAATTCAGACGTTGCTCGGTAGGAGCCAAGAGTTTCCAACGCCGCTTGACTGTACGAGAATATTTTTATTGTCTTGTGAGTGAGGTTAGATTTATCCAATCTCTCCGCACACAATTCAGTAGCGTAAATTTCCGCTTGAAATACAGTTCTAGGAAGGTAGGGTACTTGGTACTTCAAATCGTAAAATTAAATATATCAAGTATTGAATATGCAGATTTGGGTAAGTAAACACACGCCCGAAGAAGTCATTGTATGGCGATACACGTATTTCTTCAAGTATCGGCCAATTCAATCATTTATCCTTCAAAATGTTTTTGAGACCAGCCTTTTTTTCATTTTATATGTAAAATTGATACAGAGTACAACAGTACCGTTTCTCAGAGTATGAAATGACTAGATCCGGAAGAGTACAATATTCAATGAAACTCACAAACACTAGTCGATATTGAAGTGAGAACACTGGTGAATGAAATAAAATGGATTCGTTTGAGACTAGATGACATTTTCAAGAACTCACATTTTATCCATGGTGTCTTGCATGCAAGGAGAAAGAGGGTGCTTGTTTTCGAAATAATCTGGATACAAAGATCTCATAGTGTAATACATATCAATTTTTTGCTTAACGTTCTCAACGCTGAACTTGTTCATTATCAGGAAACTTGTAATCATGTGGTCATCTGAAATATAACTATTATTGTTATCTATATCTAAGTGAAAATGATTTCTAATGCTAATATTATGAACTACAATATATAGAAATTTCAATTTTTGCTTTTGTGGAACTTGACAGCTTCGTTTCTGTGAATATTATGATGCTTACGAAGCATGCTTACTTTTGGCATGTAATATACGTTTCCCCACTAATACATGGAAAATGATATTATCACAACCAGGAATTTCAAGAATTCATCACAGTAGAGAACAAATCTACTCAACTTACCCAACTCTAAAACTTGCAAGTAATCATGTCAGTTACTGATTTTGATGCAGTCACGAAGTCCAAAAAGACTTGAGCCAGGTTTTGTGTTGATTATGACAATTATTGCCATTTGAAGTCAAATAATATGATATCTCGAAGACTGTTGTATCTTAGCACAGTTTGAAGGTAAATGCCAAAGCAATCAACTTTTACGACGTGAGTAGGCATTATGAAATGCAGTGAAGAAAAATAACAGAAAGTGAAGATAGAAACTCCTTCTGTGTATCAGTTCAAAACAAGAACTAGATGAAGAGAAACCCGATGGGGAACGAAAGAATGAAATCAAGCAGAGATATTAAAAAATCTGTTAGGGTAAAAGTTCAAGAAAAGAACAGGTAAAATAATCAAAAACAAAACAATCAATTTCAAATCGAACAACTCTCAAGCAAAAACAAGTGATATCATTCTGAAATCAGAATGAACTTTGCATCACTGAAGTCATTGTTGGGGCATGTCTCGGAATTAATTTGAAGCAGCAACGAAAGCAAACAACTAGTTCTACAAATAAATGGGAATATAAGAGAACATGATTCTTTCATTCTACTCGAGATCTCAGTGAATTCGCATTGAGAAAATATCAGATTCTAACATGCTTTCCAAAGAAGATATTGGCAAGAAGTTTATAGATATCAATTCATGAGAATAGTGAACTCCAGATGTTTGGAACAGTGAGAATGTATCAAGCAGTGAGTAAAACAAAACCTAAACAAATCGGTAACAGTCGAATTTCAAGAAGAAGCTTGAAAACTATCGTTCAATAAAATATTTTGAATAGGTCCTGAATCTTACTGAAATTCTAGTGATCAGTTATTTATTTTCACCGACGCATTCCGTGATTCTAAAGATATTCAACAAGAGAATACAATTTCAGATGAAGAAGTAGAGAGTTTCTTGGTTTCAATATCAGTACATCGATGATGAATCAGAGTAGGTCTAGTTTGAACCTAATGAAATATTAAAAGTTATGTCATTTGATTCGTAGTTCTGTAGTTGTAGTTTGTAGTATAGAACAGTGTTATCCCAGATATGCCTAAAGGATTATTTGAAATTTTCAAGAAGTAATTTTAAAGAAATTGAAGCTTATTAGCGACAAAAAAGGGATTACATTTTTCTCAAAATTTTAATTTTATAAAAAATACAAAATCAAGACCGTACTACATAAATATAGTACATTAGGTGGATGTATTACTACGAAAAAATATTATTTTGTATGAAATATTACGTTGCATTTCACGTGTACTCCAATGTCACATTTCAAACATCTTGTTGTTGTTTTCTCATGACAGTATCCACATCGGGTCTCTTTTGCCTGTGGAATCACAAGATAGTCTAACCGGTCGTAACGCAAATCAATACCTTGTGTTCTACTCGAATGTCCTTTTTGGTATGTAGCTTGCTGTGAAATAACAAGATGGTCTAACCGGTCGTAACGCAAATCAATAGCTTTTGTTCTACTCGAATGTCCTTTTTGGTATGTAACTTGCTGTGGAATAACAAGATGGTCTAACCGGTCGTAACGCAAATCAATAGCTTGTGTTCTACTCGAATGTCCTTTTTGGTATGTAACTTGCTGTGGAATAACAAGATGGTCTAACCGGTCGTAACGCAAATCAATAGCTTGTGTTCTACTCGAATGTCCTTTTTGGTATGTAACTTGCTGTGGAATAACAAGATGGTCTAACCGGTCGTAACGCAAATCAATAGCTTGTGTTCTACTCGAATGTCCTTTTTGGTATGTAACTTGCTGTGGAATAACAAGATGGTCTAACCGGTCGTAACGCAAATCAATAGCTTGTGTTCTACTCGAATGTCCTTTTTGGTATGTAACTTGCTGTGGAATAACAAGATGGTCTAACCGGTCGTAACGCAAATCAATAGCTTGTGTTCTACTCGAATGTCCTTTTTGGTATGTAACTTGCTGTGGAATAACAAGATGGTCTAACCGGTCGTAACGCAAATCAATAGCTTGTGTTCTACTCGAATGTCNCCCAAACAAAAAACAGTTTTCTGAATAATGAATATATCTAAAGAATTTATGATATAATTATCATTTTTCTTCTAATTACCAGCAATTGGTAAAATATATTCTGATTTCTTATGCTTGAAATGTACATACCTTGCAAAGTTGACATCGTACTCAGCCATTTCTATTTATATATGTATTCCAAAAAAATAAAATTCTCACTTTCACATAACAAAACTGAATGTATTCCGTCCAGCCACAATGTAACAAGTATACTGAAGCATTCACCACACTGATAGCTCTCGTGTACGTAAAAACCGCTGCATGTCGAGACTTGTTAGGACCGTACTAAATATTCTACAATAGACATATCTGGGTTATTTGTGCTATTCCATATCGTGAAGACACATTGCTCTTGATCGATTCTTCACTTCACACTGAATAATCGATTCTTACAGAAATTGAACCGAATGCACATAATACTGTAAACGGATTACGTATCATATTGGTAAAAAAAAAGAATACATGCAAACACATTATTCATAACTAAATATACTACATTCTATTGAATCTGAATGAGTTGCTCTCAGTTCATCCACTAAGCATTATTGAGCAATTTTGAAATCAAAACATATGATGAATTCCAGTCTTCCGCTGTGTCTGACTGTCTGGATGGATTTATATACTGTTTTTTTTTTTCGATAGACGGTGTGGACATACAGAAAGTTTATGTGTATGATTTATTATTATTATTGTGAATTGGTTGAATTTTATAAATGATATCTGTAATAGTTGGAGCGGTGCCGGTGGTGCGTGCTCTTCTTGAAAACGCTGCTCAATCTATTCGGAATATTTAACCTATCGATAATGTTGAAAATACCATCGTATATAGTGGTTGGCCATATGCCAATAATTATAATTGACCAAATGCCAATAACTGTCTGGCCATTCGAAATGAATTGAAATATTTCTGCTTGATCCTTTGTAGATGACGGAAGTACAAGAAGAGGGAAAATATGAGAAGAAGTACAAAGAAGAAACTATCACCTCAGCTTTAGCAGCCCTAAAAAATGGTATCTCTCAAAGACAAGTCTCTAAATTATTTGTTGTGCCTCGTCAAACACTGCAATTCAGAAAAAGTGAAAAGTTCCACAGCAAAACTGATTTGGGACCAAATCCCATTCTCACACATGAAGAGGAAACTATTTTAAAAAACTGTATCCTAAATATTTACAAGAAAGGTTTCCCAGTCAGAGAATTTTATATTCAAGTATCTGTGAAAGAATTCTTGGATGCATATCTTCGGGATAATCCATTTTGTGATAATTTACCTGGCGACGGATGGTACAGGGCTTTTCTCAAACGACATCCAGCTCTAACTCACCGCACCCCAGAGGCTGTTACAGCAGCTAGTTCTGGTATTTCACAGTCAGACATACGACATTGTTTTACTTCGGTGGAGGAATATCTCAAGAGAAAGGGTTATTTTAATATATTGAGAGATCCAACCAGAGTGTTCGAGACATGTTTTTTCCTTTGTCCTAAAAATACCAAGGTTATTGCTCCTAGAGGTGCAAGAAACATTTATGAGGTACACTCTACCCAAGGAAAAACGAACATAACCGCCATGTTCACTTTCTCTGCTGCTGGTCAGGTGACAGAACCTATGCTAATATTTCCGTATAAGAGGCTACCAGCTTCCATCATGAATTCGGTACCTAATTCTTGGGGAGTTGGTCATAGTGACAATGGTTGGATGAAGGTGGAATTGTTTTACGAATATATCGGAAATGTATTATATCCATGTTTGAAAAATAGTGGAACTAAATTCCAGGTCATTCATTTCGTGGATGAACATTGTACTCATCAAACTTTGAAGTTGAGTCAGCTATGCACGAAACTACAGATTATTTTGATAGCACTTCATCTAAATGCTACCAGAATTATGCAACCTGCTGATGTGGCAGCTTTCAAGCCACTCAAAACCGTATGAAAAGAAGCTGTATTGGAGTTCAGAAGGAAAAATCCTCAACAAATACTAACCAAGGAAAAATTTGCTCCAGTATTGAAAATCGTAATTGATCAGTGTGCCAAGGTGGATACAATAACACATGGGTTTCGAGCCAGTGGTTTATTCCCATGGAATGCCTCTGCTATTGATTACGAGGAATGCCTTGGTTTGAACGAAAATTAAATTGAAATAATCCACGATGAAGAGGAACCACAAGGAACCAAAGATGCTTCCATTTCATATAACCACTTCAAAAATATAGTAGGAGATGAAAGAATTGAAATTTTTGAACAAATCGACAGCGTCAATAATAATAATAATGATGAGCTTGGTTGCAGATGCTGAGACTAATGATGCTTAATATATCACAAGTGAAATACCTGCAGATATAAAGATCAGTGAAGATATAGATATAACAAATTTCGAAATAATTTTGGCAAATGATATTTCACCATCTGTGAATACCGAGGATCATGTACCTACCATGCCATATGAGGTCATAGACTCGTTAGAGGAAAGAAATCATACTGGCACGGATCTTGATGAAAGAAATGAGTTTGGAGATCGTATGAATGAAAACATGATTAAAATATCATGCGAAACAGTTAGTGTCACAAATTATGGATTTGATAATGGAAAATACCATAGAACTAGATGGGCAGAATAAAAATGAAGAATCCGACACTTCCGTCATTGCAAAAACATTACAAGAGAATCACGACGAAAGAGGAATCAATCCGAATGAATTCCAGTCTTCACGATCATGTGATATGGCCTAAAACCCTGGTAAGAAAGGGGAAGAAAAATAGTGAGAGATTACCATTTGTTCTAACGAGCACTCAATGGAAAACATTCAAACGGAAAAACTGGAAGCTAAGAAAAAGGAAGAAAAAAAAGAAAAATAGAAAGATGTTCGAGAAAAGCTAAAAACGAAAAGAAGAAGTTAGAGAAAAAGAAGACAATGAAGAGAAAACAATCAAATGAGCCAAATACAGCCAAAGGTAAACATGATGAGAAAAAAAATGAAAATTGATTTACAACTGGCAAAAATTCAAACTGAAATTTCTTCAGATGATTCATTGGAGCAACCTTCCTCAAGCAACCGTTGAGTAAATATTTTATCATGTGTCACAATTGCTCGAGAAAAACACGTGGGAAAAGTATTCGGTGACGACCAGAGCAATAATTCTACTGAAAACAATCAGGAAAAATTACCTTTTCCCAATAATCAGATTGCTCTTGGCAAAATCTGCTTTATCTGTACGAACAAGATTAGCTTAATATCAGAAGGAATCAAATGCTTTGGATGTGAAAGAACCTGCCATAATAGGAGCATTATTAGACTGACTCCATTAATTGATACATCCCGTTCACAAATTTATTATTGTAAAACCTGCTCAGCCAAACCAAATATTTCTTGAAATCATTAATATAATATATCAGTTGAATAAATTGAAGTCCTGGTGGGATTTGAGAACCTGAAGTTTCATTTTATTCGGATATGCCAATCACTGTAAATCTTATGGCCAATAACAGTAATGAAACGGCCAATGACTGTGGATTTTGCATTCTTGGAAAGTTATATAAAACTCTGGGTTTAAATGGAAGTAGGGCACTATTTGGTTCACTCTTCTCCTACTTATATTCTTCAGAATGATTGTTTGACAACAGTATCCTTCATAATGTCCATATTTATTCGATTAAAACATATAAACTACGAGACAGGCCTTAAGTGGCCAATGGCTGTACGCTTTACCCTAACTTTACAAAAAACTTCACGATGACACATCTTAATCTTTCGAAGATAACTGCTGACACATAATGTTGACCTAGAGTGTTCATGGAAAGCTTCTATTAGACGGATACAATATAAATTCTCATCAAATAAATACTAGTTACCTTAGCGCCGATTGACAAAAAACGGACGTCAGTCGGAGACGGAGAATATTTCGTCATTTCCGCATCTTTCCTGTGTTAATATCGCTTTCACATACTTTTGACTGAATGAACTTCATCCATCATCATTTTCATCAGTTGATAACTGGGGTATCTGGCTTCGCTTGGTGAGTTGATGAGAGATTATGTGGTAGTTAAAATGAAAGGATTAACTTCAAATTCTAGCAGATTGACCGATCTTGCTTCATATAACTCTACCAAGGATTCCAGAAAGATCCACAGAATTCTAAACCATTCTGGAATCTTCCACAATGACCTGAGGTATTCCAAATGTTCCTGAATATCCTAGACTATTCGAGAACATCCGAGAATTTGATGAAAGTATCTCGATCACTCCCAAGTTTTCTGAACTTTTCTAAAATATTCTAAATGTTAAAAATTCATGTGCTCATATTTTTGAAAACACGCCTTTCAGTTAGAAAGGAAACTTTTTTTCATGGATGGGGAATGGAGAGCTACCACAACTTACTTAAATCATTCCATGATGATCTTGCATATAAAGGAATGTTTACAAAATGTTCCAAATCAATACCAAACATTCCACAACATTCTACGATGTTCCAGAATATTCTGGAAAGAGAATAGTGAAATGCTATCGAACACTAAAATATTCTGGAGTTCTCTAGAACTATCTAACGGCCGAAACAACTCGCACCTTTGTCTCCAAAAGCACACCTTTCCAGTTAAAATAGAAACTATTTTCACGGATCGAAGATAGAGAGCTATCACACCATATAACTCCTTTGATAATTCAGACTATTTCCGAAAATTACACTACATTTCAAAATGTTCCAGAATGTTCTAAGATGATCAGAAAATTCATGGAAAACTTTCAAATACTCTCGATTATTCTATAGTTTTCTAGAGGGCGAAACTCCCAGCCATCATGTATTCAAAGCAAGCCCTTGAAGTGATCAAAACATGTAGGCATTTATGGTATGCTATTCATACCAAGCGGAACGAGTCGCTAGTTTATTATGAAATCAATGTTGTGGGTATAATATGATTTTTTCAAAAGTAGTAACGATTCTACTCACCTGGCATTTCTGGTAGGTGTGGTTGTGTTTCCACCCATTTTTTCACTATCATAATATTTTCTTTCAAATCCTCTTCAGTTTTATTGTTCACCTTCAAACCTCGTTCAAGTACTCGAGATATATTTTCAAAATATTGTTTTTTCTCCTCCATACTGAATACAAGTCGTGATCAAGTCGAAACGGTGTCACAAAGATATTTACTGAAAAATGTTCATAAAGAGGTCAACACACCAATAAACCTTCACATTACAAGATAAATTATTATATAGTTATTTATGATTGAAAATACCTGTAATAAAATCTAATCAATTTGATATTGGAGAGAAATTGATATAAATATAGGAGGAAGTTTTCTGAAAAATACACTGGATTACCAAAATTAAGTTTCTGAAATTGAATTTTCAGTCTCTTATATCGCTCAAAATATGTGTACCTACTGAACGGATGGTCAAAACAGAATGTATTTGATCAAATTCGAATATTTCTCAGGTTTTCTATTTGTATCTCTAGAGAAGGCAGGGTGAATGTAGGCCTACAGCACTTAGGCCACATGTGACCTATTGTACATCTTCCCGAGGAGTTGTCCTCCTAGGTCATCATCCATCCTGTCCTTTCCAGGAAGGTGAACAGGTCACTAGGAGACATCTTCTTCATATAGGCAGGTGTAGGCCAAGACTCGCCAAACACACACTCTTTCATTGACGAAAAATCTGGACATTGACTTAGGACATGCCTGACAGTTTCATATTCCTGTTCACACATCCTGCATAGAAGTGTGTCCACTAGCCCCATATTATGGAGGTGTTTCCTAAGTTGACAGTAGCTAGTCAAAAATCATACTGTTGAGCGTAGATTTTTCCTGGTCATCGGCAGATATTTTTTCGACCCCAGTTTCCCAGGGTCGCCCAGGGTGATCCTGGCAAGATTGCACCCTTTGATTTCATCCCATCTCTTTAGGGATTGAGCATGGGTGTACCGTTTGCCTAGTTTCGCAATTGTCGAAGTCATCAGGCCGTAGGTGCTACTAGGTCCTGAAATTTTTAGTCCTGCCCCTTCTTTGGCTGAAGAATCGGCAATGCGATTACCTTTACTCCTGTCGTGCCTTTCAATCCACCTCTCGATGATGTTATTATCTACCGAGGCTTTGGCTTTGGCTTTGGTGGCACTCTAATACTAACTCTGAGGTAACATGCTGTCTGTTCAATAAATTGATAGATGTAGCCGTTACTACGTGGTATTTTTTCCTATTCCTCACTCAATCTTTAGGCTTAGTGATCTGGAGTACACTCCACATCCTGAGCCTTCTTAGGTTTTTGAGCCGTCAGTATATATGCATATTGCATTTGTAGCATCTGAATCTGTGTTCTGGGTTCAATTGCATCACTGGTTGCCGGCAGCAGAGATTGCGCAGTGAGCATTTCCTGAGATAGGCTCAGCCCCAATTGACCCATTCCTTTTTCGAGGTTTACACCAGCCGTGCGCAATCTTAATATGGCCCATTAACACAACCTCCTTAATGTACAGGTCCAGAGGGGTCACACCAGTAATTAATTTCATTGCCGTGGTTGGTGTTGTTCTCATTGTTCCTGTGATGTTCAAACAAGCCAATCACTGTAGTTGATATAATTTTTGGATGGCCGTAACTTGTAGAATTTTCGGTCCCTATGAAATGGCTCCGTATGTTAACAGTGTAGATCCAGGTGACCACACGAAGTGAAAGACCCCATGCGCGTCCCACTGTCCTTCGACGTGAGGCCACATATGCTCTTTTTGCTCTACTCGGTAGGTGAGACTTCCATGTAAGCTTCCTGTCGAGGATAGTACCAAGGTATTTCTCCTCTGCAGAGAAGTTCAGTTTGCTTTCGAAGATTTCGCGAGGTTTTGAGCCCGATAAACTTCTTTTCCTGGTGAAAAAGACCATTTCAGTCTTCTTGGGAATGATCGACAGTAAGTGTTCTTTACACCATGTGCCTGTAAATTTGAGTCCATCTTGTGCTCTATCGCATAGTGTGTTCACAAATTTGCCAGTCTGCATGATAACCTTGTACTCTGCATATTCAATTGTGTAGAATCCATTATTGTTGAGGTGATTAATCAGGGTATCCAGAACTACATTCCAAAGACGAGGTGATGAGACCCTTACCTGTGGACATTCCCTCATGACCAGTCCTCTCACTGTGATGTCTTCTACATTGATACTTATTGCTCTACTAGAGAGCATTTTGAGTATCCATTCTTCTACTACCAGAGGTACATTCCTGAAGAGTAGTTGCTGGGTAATTGTTGTAAAGGTTGTTTTATCGAACGCTCCCTCGATATCTATGAATATACCCAGATTGAATTGTTTGTTGTCCAATGATCTTTCGATTCTGCCAACCACATTGTGAAGGGCCGAATCAGTAGACCTACCTGGAGTATATGCATGCTGATTTGTTTAAAGTTGGTTGTGAACTAGTACTTAATCTCTCATGTACCGCTCACATAGCCTCTTCATAGTTTTTGAAAGAACGATGTGAGACTAATTGGTCGGAATGCCTCTTGTAATGTGTAGTCCATCCTACCAGGTTTGGGTATGAGTACTACTAGTACTTCTCTCCACTTACTGGGGATATACCTCAGAGCTAGATAGGCTCTGAATATGACAACCAGGTGCGGCATAAGAATATCTAATCCCTATTGAAATAGGGGTGGTCCTGGTGACTCGAAAGGGGAAAAGCCCGATATGGCCCATCCTATCTTGTCCTCATCAATTACTGCACCAGCAGAATGCCAGTCTTATGAGGGTGTTGTTGGTACTTCCGTCCAGTTCGTCGTTCGAGGAAAGACAGATGCTGGTAAGTGAGTTTCCATAAGAATTTCAGCACTCTCTTGAAAGTTGGCGAATTTGTCGCCATTTTCCCTCGTCAGGAGAAGTGGGAAGTCTTCGACTGCCTCACAAGTTTATTTTTGTTTGTGTCTGCAGACTTTTTTGCCAACTGAGCCAACTGAGGTTGGCTTGATATATATCCCAGTCCTCTTCGAGTTGTGTAAGTTTTGCCTTGTTAAAGGTCGTTCTCGTTGGATAGATACAGAATTTCTATGAAGACTCGACGAGTATTTGGAATGGAACGGGTAAAATATCAAAGATTAGTTTGGTGATTTGTCATGAATTCAAACTAGAAAAAAGGTCATTTAAATAAAGTTGAGTTTCGAAATTCCTGAAATGTTTTAAATCCTTTTCTTGAATTTTTACATTTCAACGTAGATTCAATCGAAATGTGAACGAAAGGAGCGACTCTTCATCGTTAGCATCACCGTCTCACCTCTCAAGTTTATAATTGAGAATTTTTTTGTAATATTATTTTCAGTTTTGTAGATCAAACCTTTTTTTTTGCGTCAATCATGGTAATTATAGTCTATCCATTCCCAATTGGAACGGCAATAAAAAAAAAGTACAGTTATGAACATTTCATGCCTGTAGCCCCTAGGCTCGGCTAGCTGGACTGGCTGAATACTAATTTTTTGTCCGATTCCTAATATTTATCATCAGTGCCGTGGGTTCGTGGGGTTAGGTGAGGTACCGAGAATCCAGCAGACATATAATCTACGTCGACGAAACTTGGTTTGACACCCATGATGTTGTCAAATATGACTGGGTAGATGAAACAAAGTATTGTACTTTGAACACACTTTTTTCAAGGAGTAAAGGTGGTTTCGTACTTAACGCTTTGCTTCTGTAGGCCAAAAATATGAAAAATTTGTCTGCTGATTACCACGAAGATATGACTGCGGCTGTATTCGAAACCTGGTACAGTGAGCAGCTTCTCCCAAATATTCCTCCAAACTCGGTTACTGTTATGAATACCGCTTCGTATCATTCTCGTTTATTGACTACAATATCAAATAATAACACAAAAAAGCAGATATTGTTGATTTCATGCGAAATCATAACATGGAAATACCCGAAAAGATTCCTACGAAAAAGGTATTACTGGCGACCATAAAACAACGAAGTTTCAAGAAAGAATATATTATCGATTCGATGCGTGAAACAACGTGGTCATATTCTCTCACGTTTGCCTCCATACTATTGTGTGTTCAATCTAATTGAAATGGTTTGGGCCACAATGAAAAAAAGCTTGCCGAAATGCTATCAGTCACCGACTTTGAATGCTGTGGTGCTTGATGATATAAGGCGAGTAGCGAATATAGCGAAGAAGAATTATGATTCTTCTAGCAATTTTGTTGGCTTCTATTATTTTGTGAATATATGTTTGACGAGAATTCGGTGTGATTATTTGTGTTTTCATTGTATTTTAGAGTTTTCTACTCGGAAATCGACTACCTTAAATTTCAAATTTTTTCATAACAACCCATGGTGGAAAAATTCAGTTGAGATAACTTTTTCATGGGGTTATCAATTGCCATGACTGTAAGAACAAGTAACTGAAAAACTACCACTGAAAAATAATATGCCGACGCCTATGTCGAGGCGGGAATTCCTTCTCTGTGCTGTTCCAAGTGGTATTGGAAATACTATACAATTTTTTTTCAATTTCAATTACCATATTATCTACATCATGTTTGTATCTCTCATATTTATTTGTGTCACCACTGGTGATAGTTTTTTTTTTGTAATTTTATTTATAACCTATTCAAAATGTTTGTTGGTTGTTTATATGTTCCTATGGATGAAATGTTGATGTTTTGACTTGCTACAAATGTAATTGTTTTCACATAACGCGGGTTAATACACTATCTATCTATCTATCTATCCATCTATCTATCTATCTATCAATCATGAAATTCCAACAGCTTTCTTTTAACGGTTAGTACTAACTAGAAAAGCATGAAAACAATGAGACTAGCGCTATTTATGTGGTAGCCCGAGAGTTTTCAGTACAGGTAGCATACCGACCCATCAGTTTTCTAACGCAAATTCCTTTTTTCTAACGCAAATATTGAACAAGTTGCAGTGATTTCATCGCGTATGCAACAGTTTTTACATTAAAAAAAACCTTGATCAATCGCTACCACATCAAAGCAATTGTTTTAATTTGCCCGGAGAACCCATCGACTAGGGACTCTCATGAAGCCTGACGCTGCATCAAAATTCAACAAATTACTGCAAAATACTTCGTTTAAAAAAATATATCTACTTTTTGTAATTGTCCGCTTCGTCGAAAGATAACAAATCATAATAATTTTCATAAATTTCAATTATTCTGTCATCTGAAACCTCGAGAATAATTTGTTTTCTTTGCTACATACGTGAATTCCGAAATCTATGTAGTTACTGTTAGGAGTACTTCTTCACATACGTATAAACAAGGTTATTCAAAAGTCAAGGTTCTATTTTATCATTTAATTGATGTAGTACATACCTTGATTTTTTTTTCACCGTAGTGTGCGCTGGTCAGGCCCTATCCCCCGAAGCCCCGATACATTCGGGAGGGCGCGCCAGCATAATCAACCAATGACCACTCCCCACACCGTGGGGTAAGTGATCATTGGGTCCGAGAATCATGTGCCCTGAGCAAACGCAGTGAGCCAAGAATGACAGCCTTCTGCATCTGTGCGGCTAAGATTTCTGCCTTAGTGCGGCAGATTTATTATTAACTCAGGGTATATCAGGATTATTGGATATTTCCTTGACCTGATCCAAGGATTCTCAACAAGGAGAAAGTATACACCTCTCTTTCGATGGTTCATGCCTGAGAGATAGCTTCAGGTAAATTTCAATTGAGTGTTAATATAAAACAAGCGACATTATATTCAATCCATGAAAAAATATATAGAATAATTTTTTTTTCGGTGATCAAAATGGATTGATTAAACAATACCCTCGTCCACGTACCAAATAAAATTTCTTCTATATCGTTTGTTTACTAATAACTGACTGTACAGTACGGTGTTATTTTTTTCAGGAAATGATTTACAACATTATGTCAACTGAAACAATTATATAACAGGTGACTTATAAGTAATATTATATGAAGATAATATTCAATATGGAAATGACTTTTCGACAGCCTCTAGTCAAGCGAATTTTGAAACAGCTCAATATCAACAAGGCGTCTGGCCCTGATGAAGTGCCCGTCATCGTACATGAAAGGTGTCCAAATTAACTCGCATCAGTATTTTGCAGACTTTTCAACCTGTCTTACAAGAAAGGGGTTTTCCCTTTTTGTTGGAAGATTCCTCGCGTTCAGTCTATTTCCAAAAAGGGCAAGAAAAATCTTCCACATAACTATAGACCAGTCGCTTTGCTATCAGTGATATCACAAATCATGGAGAAAGTCGTTTACCATCATATTCTGACATATTTGGAAGGCTTCAACATCTTGAGAGATCATCAATATGGCTTTCGGCCAGGCGACTTTCTACCGTATGTCTTAAATAATGTATCTGGCCTGTTACTCCTGGACAAGCGACTCTGAAGAACATAAAATCTGGTTAGGGTTTAATTTCCGCCTACCTTCTGAACAACGACAGCTCAAGGGATCCTCAGCAGGAACGAATTGCAAATGACCGAGTATCAATAGTTCCAATTCACGGATATCCTGTGTGTAACCGTCCCTACACACTACGGGGAATGATTAATAGGAAAAAACAAAATCCTTGCTACTCACCCCACTGGAGGAGGTTTAGAACTTCAAAAAAATTAACGAGAGACCTTTTATTAATTACAATTCAGAAGTAGAGATTACACAACTTCAACTTCACTTATGAAATAAAACAAGAGAGCAGGTATTACACGAAAAACTACCAAGAGGCGTTTTAATCATCCTATATGATTCTACTTCAAGAGGAATATCTTATGGAGGAGTGTTCAAATCGACAAATGGAACTTGTCGGTTCAGAACGTCATTTATTGAAGGCTCGTGATTTTTCCAAAACACATTCGCATCCACTCTTCATGAACTCGCCTTAAACTCTGACCTAGTGGTCATCTACGTACTATTCGCATTTGCACAGATAGCGGCGAGACGAATATCAGGGTGCCATCTCTGGGAGATAGAGTTGGCATATGGACTTACGAAATTTGAATATGAAAAGATCCGACTCAAAAACGAATATGATCAGAGGCGTAATCACCAGCGATGACCAGGACAAGGAAAAGAGGAATTGATATCTATAGACAAGAAAAGCCATTTCAAATCAAAATATACTGAGGTATTAACAGCTGATTTTGTTTAACTAATTCGATTTCTGTCAATCACTGATTGACATCTTTATCTTGGAATTGTTATCATAAATAAAAAACAAAATTCTGACTGTATTTATAACTGGAATATTTTTCGTGAATAAAAATTAAACTAATGATTTTGATTCATTATTTATAAAAGAAAGATTCAATGGAAATCACGTTGAATAGGCAATCGACATTGCATTAAAAAATTTTATCGTTACTCTGAACTGTGTTTGAACATTTCTGAGCGCTCTCCATTCTTGAAAAGTTGAACAATAATTTCGCTTTCCATACCTTTTCGGCTTCATAGAGATACCTATAACTTTTCTCATGATTTTTTTTGTTGAACCTCAAGTAATCTTTGAAATGTTAAAAAAGTAGTAAATAGTAGTAGAATGCTACAGCATCTTCACCAGCAGCAGGAGGTTGCATATCTCAATGAGGATCTAGAAGTGATTGCGAATTGGGGTGAAAGTAACCAGGTTCAATTTAATTCCACAAAAACACATGCATCGGTTTTTTCCAAGAAGATACATGTCTCCAAACCGGATATAATAATGTCAGGTCAGAAAATTCCGCTTTCTGCTTCGATGAGTTTGTTGGGGGTTAAACACAAGCATGTCACTGGAATTGCAAAGGCTGCTTCTCAAAAGCTTGGAACACACTTCTGAACTAGAAAACTATACACATCTCAGCAACTTTTGATGCTTTATAAAGCTCAGATCAGACTTTCTTCAGAGTATTGTTCTCATATTTGGAGCTCTGCCCCCAAACATACCCTGAAGTTGCTTGATTCCATCCAGAAGAGAGTCATCCTTCTGATTGAAGACGTGAACATCACGTGCAACCTTGATAGCCGGCAACATCGAAGAAAGGTTGGAGATTTGTCTCACTTCTATACATATTTTCACGGGAGGTGTTCAAGTTACTTGGCACATTTGATTCCACCAAGAGCGGTATATATCAGAAATACGCGACGGACTGTGGCTGCTCATCGTTTTGAGGTTCAATTCAGTACACCTCAAACTTCACTGTTTGAGAACTCTTTCATCTGAAGAACTGCGTTTATGTGGAATAAACTTCCTGAGAACGTCTGAATCGCTACTTTCGCACAGGCACCGCTCTGAGAGCGCCTTAACGATTTTTCTATAGAGCTTGTGTTTTGTCCTTGAAAAGAAGCTACAAGTCTATTTGTTGATGATATTTGAAGTGGCTTCATCTACTTTTAGAAATCGCAGATTCGAAAGTTAAACTTCGTTTAACTTCAGCTCTCACAAGTTTCGATTTCTAAGGGTTGTTGTTTGTGGGAGGGCGAAAAATACAATCAATCACCACTAAAATACTTATTCTAATAATACGAATTCATATTATACCCCAGTATGCCGGTCCATGCAATCGATTCAAAGCATCAAACATGTTGAAATGTTAAAAATAAAGTTTTTGGCTTTCTACTACTCCATATTGATACAAAAAAATTGATGGAATCTTCCAAAGAAAGCAAGGAAGTAATCAATTTGAAAATAAGTGAATCAATACATGGCATAAGCAGATCAAGCTTATTCCGTGACATTAAAAATCGTAATTCAAGAATGAGTTGTGTGTATTTTCTATAATGTTATCTTCCCAAAAATTTATCACTCCTAAAAGTATCACCCCTTCAATTCAGTTAAAAAAAAGTTCACGAAATGAAATCGCAAATTTCTCCAGCTAATAAAAAATCATCTTCTAAAAAATAATTCCATTTCATTTTCAGCATTTTAAAATTTTTCATGTTGCTGTTTCACAAAATGGAGTGAGAACTCAAAAGAAAATTGAGACTTCAAAGCGAAACCATCCCAGGCCCAAACTGTTTTCTTTAGCACATGATAAACTTCCTGATAGAATTGAAGACAGACCAAAAAGATTGATAAGTAATAATGTAATCAAAGTACTCATAGTTCGCTTATAATCAACCCGGTAGATGCATTTTTTTCCTAATGAAAACTTTGAAATATTGTTAGAAATTAGTAAGTAAATTCTGAAAGATGTGGTGTCAGACAGTAATTGACTAGAGTTCTGTTCGGAACAGTGTTTTTCATTTTGGTGATATTTTTTTCGTAAAATCAACTGAGATTAGGAGAGTGCATATCTTGACTTTACAATGAATGAACCACAGATTTTGAAAAACAACAGACCAAAAGGTTCAGGCTAATCCCTAAAATTCTATTAATAAGTAGATGAAAATTCAAGTACTCGTATATTTAAATGGTTCAACAGAAAAAATGTTTATTCAAATTATTATTTCAGAAATACAGGAATCAAAATAACACAAAAATACTTTTGTTGTTGTTCTCAACAATTTCATCAATCTCAATTATTTATCTCTATCAATATCAATTTTGCAATAATTGGGACAAACATGCTACTCACCTGTGACTGCAACGAAGAACCAGTCGAAAGAAATTCACATTAACGACTGCTGCGAACAAATTGATAACTTGTTTTACATCAACATTTATTTTCATGATCGGCATCAGGCCTCAATAACAACCCAGTTTGGTAGTAAAACGACTAACAGTACTGGGGTCAGATCCATTTTATTTTCTGTAATGGACCTGTATTTCACGGAAGCACAGAAGAGCCACATATTTTTATCTGTCATCCGGTTTTATTTTTCTCGAAAATTACTTTTTCGGAACTGAAAATTTCGATTTCAATTTCGAAATCTCGAGTTTCAAATCAAAATTTCGACAATGAAGTCGGAATTCCATTATGTCGAGTTTGAAATCGAAATTTTGAGATTACATGTAGAGTTGAAAGTCGAGATCAAAGTCAAAATTTCGAAGTTCAAAGTCGAAAATTTTCAAGAAAAACAATGATTCAAATATGTATCCCTTTTCCACTTTCGTACAAATCAGATGGACAGAGAATCATTTGATGAATATATTTTTATTCTAGATGAAAGCGCAATTATTTGATCCAGAAAAATTAATGAGTGTATATCTTTGAGCACAGTTAAATCGGTTTGTTGCTTCTTTAGAAATTATCATTGATAATCATTCGAAATTCCACTTTGAAACGAAGTTCGAAATATAAAGAAAGGACTTCAAAGTGCAGAACCTCTCCTAAAAATATACTCCTTCCAATTTAAACAAAATTGGTTATTTTATATTCCATTCGTCCTAATCGGATTATTCACAAATTTAATTTAAAAAATTTGCTTTATGGTTTCACAGAATGAAAAACTCCATCTCTGTTTCATTTCCTAGAAACCATTAGTCCAATTACTCATATCATATTGACATAAATACTTGTGTTGCAGACTATTGAGATTACGTTCGACCTACTGTAACCTTGTGCGAATTATCACACTGTTCGTTTTGTTTGTTTATATGAAAAACGTCTACCAAACGAATATAACCGAGATGGTTGAAAATATGGGAGATTTTTGAAGCTGGTTGATTTGCCCTCCTTTGTAAATATTTATGTAAGAAGTTTTTCTGGCTGGAGTTTCATAAAAACGCAAGGAAATATCATATTGAAATATTTGAACTTCGTCTTTCGGAAATAGTACAAAACATCCAAAATATCACATTTGTAAAATTATGAAACAAAATAAATGTATCGCCGCTCCGGAGCGACTTGGTTAATTCCAGGAGCGAATTTGCTTTTTCAACTGCAGAAAAACCCGTAGAAACATACAGCATCATCTGAAGATCTTAATCTGCTAATGACCTCTCTTTCATGGAATGAAATGTACGCTGTGTCCAGAGGCTCCAATAAATTCGAGACGTCGCCAGAACACTCAGTGACACGACTATGGTCAAACTCAAACCAGTCCGTTTCGTCTTTGAGCAATACGTAACAATGACCAGATTCAACGGTAGAACCACATTGAAGAATGTCTGCATGGAGATTGAAATAGAAGTCTGCTATAATGAAGTGTTCATCTATTTGGAACCTTCGTAAAAATTTGGTGGTTCCGTCAGAGATTGAGTCACGTTAGAAGATCATCAGTGTTAATTATAATATTAACTGGTGCCTGAGATATACTTGTTGTCTTATAATGGTCAGTTAGTTTGGCGCATATTTGGCAATACAGTTGATCATCAACCGTTGACAGTTCTATTTTCAGATGATTTATCGATGAGCTTTGCATGAATTGGTTATCAGTCATATTAGGAAATGCTAGTTGAAGTTCCAGAAAGTCACATACGTTTTTGCTCCCTCTTGAACATGTACTACAAAGTAAACTAGTGAGGATTTTTCCAGCAAAAAATCTACAAACACACGAGATAGACTGCGCGGAATTGTTCAATATAGAGCGGTCAGGAGTATTGACTCTGCTAGTTTTCTGCCCACGAAAAGTATTCAACAGGAACCCCAAGAATTCGTAACAATCATCTTCTTTCCTAACGAGTATCTAGTAGATTTCGAAGACTCCAGGAAATCGGTTGGTGGAAAAGATGATACATTCTTACGAAACTCCAGCTACATAAACAGGTGTTTGAGTTTGGTGAATAAGTAGGAAACATTCTTGTTCATCGTTAAAACTTCGTTCTTGAAATTTTTTGTCACGAACAATACTTGAAAATGCGATTCATGTAGAAAGTGTTACCTGAATTATTTAATCAAATTTTCTTCGCAAGATTTTCAGGACAACTATCTACTGATTCGTAAGAATGAAAATGTTTCATAGAATTTGCATCAGAACCATTCCTCAAGCTGCAATCGATCCTTCTGATGAAGGGTTTCGTAGAGGGATTGATTTGGTTCTTGGTCCATGAAGCTCTTCCACTGAAAAGAAACTCTTTTGACATTTCTGAAATTCTCTCCATGATGAGTTGTAGTACTCCTCTAATCCTTTACATTCCTAGTCACTCTTTCAAAAACACCAT